CATCATGACCACAAGTAACATGTCGAAAATAAACCAGGGGTCTCGGATAGCTTTCCAAGAGGTTGCATATGACATGTATCTGACAACAGCTTCTCCCACGAAGTAGAACACGAACACGACTTCCACTGCGATGAACAAGGGCTCTGCTTGCCAAACCACATCTGCATCGTTGAACTCAATGTCAACAGCCAGCCACATCGCGTTCAAGTAGATCATGAGCAACGATATTCGCTCAAACATTCCATGTTGCACCATGCGTGTCCAAAAAGTTTCTGTTGACCCTTCTACAAGAGTATTGTCAAACTCTTGTATTGCTTGCTGGCGAACTCTGTCTGTCGCGAACTGTGCATGAAGCTGCGAGAACACAGGCTGTGTGTTTCTGGCACCTTTTGCCGATTTGGGTAGGTCGGCCTGCTGATTCTTGTGGATCCAAGACATGTGCTTCCGGCGGTTTTTCGCCACTGTCGACAAACTATTGAACGCCAAGGGTGAGTCGACCTGGCTCCTCACTGAGTTCCTCCCTGCACCCTGCGCCGGTGGGACATCTGCTGGAATGTCTGCCAACTCTGGCGGCTTCGGGACATCCCATGCGTTCTTTGTTTCCATGCTCCGAGGTCCAGCTACCATACCTGGCTGCAGCACATCGACCGGCAACGTTTCCACAGCATCCGGTTTGTCGAGGTTTTCGAGCTGCCTCAGCTCCGCTTCAGACAAACATGTTGTCCAGCTGCCATAGTAGGGACCTTGTTTATTGCAAAAACTGACGATTCTATTGGGGACCCGCCTCAGCTCAGCATCGAGCTTGTGCACTACGACGCGTTGAGCTTCGAGGAGGCTCAACTTGAAGCTCTGTAGACGCTGCCGTACTCCATCAAGTTCTGCTTTTTGCATCGAATGCAGAGACTTCCAGCACAGGGCTGAGTCCGAGCCCTTACCCTGCTCCTTGATGTTGAAACGGCTCGGAAAAGGGACAGTATTCAATCGTGCCGGAGTACTGAGTAGTCAGCAATCACATCCTGTGCGCAGATTTCGTGCGTGCCCCGGCTCTTTTTAACACGACAGCGCTGCCGGACTGATGAAACAGGTGGGACAAGCTTAAAAGTTGAAAAGGCAATGGGCTACACCAGGACGCACCAATTCTGGCCACTGCCCCAGGCCACTTCGCACTTGTAATCACAACTTCGGAGAAACCAATGCCAATGAACTAGTCAGCCGCTTGCCATGAGCGCCCGGGGCGTTTGCATGAATATCTTTGTAGCATGCACTTTGGGATTCAGAATTGCCGCCGCATCACATCGAAAGCATGTACTCTGTTTCAGTAAGTCACTACCTCCTAAGATTTAATCTGTATACGCCAGTGCCAACAGCACTTTCAACCCTCAAACCCACGGACCTGTTCCGCGGAGCGCTGCAAACGAAGCTATCCTGTCGTGCAGGGGCCACTTTGCTTTGGATTCTTGCGCGTAGTGCGCTGAAGTTGCTACCTGAGGCATGTCATTGGAGGTTTGAGGATTGCAGAGGAGCTTGGGCATGTTTGGAGAGGAAATAAACAACATGTGCAACGCATGTTGCAAACACATCTCAGCTTAGCACTAATCTGGCACCTCTGGTTAGCGAGTTGACCCCCAGCAATCACCCAGTAGCTGTTTGAGATAAGTTTCGTGTTTACATTCATGCAACCAGGCGCTTCACCAAGTGTTTCTGCATCCTGCTTACGCCAACATGAGCCCAAGACGCACCAGTACATGTAAACAAAAACTGGCGGACCAGACTTCACCAGCAGCCGCGAGTGGGGAGGATTTAAATGCATCCCACCGATTGGCCACAATGCAGTGTAAGTTTCATGATGAATCCCCAGTGCGCAAAGTACCGTGTTGCAGTGTATGTACAAAAAAAAATATATATATATACATGTACACACACTCTCTGTGTAAATATATATATATATATATATGTGTGTGTGTATACACATAAGTATAATATAAAACAAATGGTTATATACGGTGCCCACCTCCTGTAGCTACCCTTTTGCTGCCCCTCCGGCCTTGACCTGAATGGCCTTTTTGTTTTTGTTTGGACTTTCCACGGTTTTGGGCTCCTGGACTCCTAGCACTTTCGCAGTCCCAGAGTCGCAAAACCATGAAAGGTCACAATGTTTGGGGCCGCAATGTCCGCAAACCATTGGGACCTCTCAACACTTTCGAGCTCAACGAGTAGTTACTGCTTAGTTCTAGTTGACGTCGTTCAGTGCCGAGTTTTCCAAACATATGTAAGTACCATAATTACGGACATGAATTCTGCAAGCATTCACTGTATACTCGTCGAAGAAGTGGGTGTTCTCATATTCTACTGGTATATGCCTCAAACCTTCATGCGTCCCGATCTACATGGTCTTGAACGGCAAATCAGTAGCTTTTGACAACAAGCACGTGCTAAAGCAGCATTGCCGTTTGTCGCGCGTTTAGTCAGTACTTAGCTAGAACTAAACAGTATTTCCTTGATGTCTTCCTCAATGATCGTAAACACTCTTCGGTTACATACTGTTCAAAGTTGTGAATATGGCATGTCATGACTTCGTCGCTAGTGAATACTTGGTGTGCGCTCTCGTGTTTTTTGCTATCTCGGTACCAAATCAGAGGTAACCACTATCTGAGAACGGTCTAGCAGAACGTAGCACTTAACGGCGATGTGGTGACTTTGTACTGCTGCACCGATCAGCTATTCCAGTAGTAGTGAGTATTCAATTGAATATCATCGCAAGCTGTCTATTGTCTGGTCATCGCAGTGTGTAGGTCTGATGCACAACAACATGAACATTCAGTTAACAATTCTTCACCCAATATTACGACAACAGTTGTATCGCAAATGCTGTCAGGCTGTGAAACTGTAGGAAACGGATAGTAACTAGATGAGACATGTGAATTTCGTCAATACTACACGAAACCATATTAAAGGGCGGCCGTCAGCACCTATGCACATGAAGCGCTGCAAACACACACTGGTGGCATAGGCCCTCCAAACAGGTAGGTACATCGCGGGGAGGGGTGTAGCATATGTATATATGTAAATATATATATATATATATACACACATATTTTTTGGCTCCCGCTTGGCTGATCCGAAGACCGCATTGAAGGTCACATGTGGGACACGAGGTGTGGGGAGCAAGCCAGCCACATTGCTACCCCGATCGACTGACGAAAGGCCCGTGCAGAAATCGCTAAACGTAACATAACCTGCAACACGACGATGCAAGGTATACAGAGTGGCAGTTTTGAGAGTTCGGGCAGAAACATGATTTTTGCCTGCATTGTTTCTGTCTACAGTTCCCCGAGCTGCCGCACCTTATGGGAAGCTAGAACAGAAGCAAAGGTGCAGGTGAAGAGGCAGAATGATGCAGAATGCGCTCATCTTTGGCATTGCGCTCTCCTGCACTGCTTCAGCTGGCCAGGGCAGTGACCCTGGGCGATGTGCGGGCTTGCACGTCGTGGCTGAATTTTAGAAGGTAGCCGCTACAATGCTAGAACCTGCCATGTTTTGTGACAATTGCTGCGGCTCGAAGCCAGCACTATCATGCGAGCACATGCTGGACCTCGCACCTGCGGCACCAGTTACCGTACAGGCTGCACTGCACGAGCTGCCACTCGTCAGTAGCAATCAGCAGTTAAGGTTGCCACTCTGCTCTTGTTGGCAGACTCGGCACGGCGCCCATTTTCGAAACCTGGCCAGACTTGAAACAGCTTCGCCGTTTGCACATTGAACCAAGACACAGGCTTCAAAGCCAATGTCATCGTGTCCATCCAGATTTGTGTAAGGACGGGAAACACAATTAGTACTGTAACCAACAGGCAGTCCAACTACAGGGAGGAGGTCAAAGTGCTACTGCATCGATTCCTGCGACTCACGCCAAAAACAGGACTAGCCTCGGGCAAACAAGCGACTCCATCAACCTGTCGCTAAGGGCCCAGCTGTCAATGCCCCAGCGGCTGCAGCAAATTTCATACACTCCTGTCATCACGTGGTAGAAATCTCTTGTTGGATATCCAAGAGTGTACACTGTTTTTCTGCGCTTTTTGTGTATCCGGGCACCATATGACTGCACACTAGGATAAGAGAGAGGGCTGGTCCTGTGCGTTATGACTTGTCTTGGATTTGATTTCTCAGGGCCATGCGTTTGCAAAGGTCAGGCTTAGCCGGCATATCTTTGTTGCTCGTTCTGCGGGGCCTCGCGTGAGTAAAGTCCGAAATCGTAAACCTGACATGACCTGCCTGCGTGGACATTCAAACATCAAGTGCCTGCTTCAGCAACGTTCCTTCACTCAGCCCGATGTCGGCAAACGGCTATGTTCAGAAACCGGGAATTTGTTGCAGAGAGCTGCCGATGAGGTTTTCATTTGCTTCATGCCGTGCGAGCATCAGCATGCGGCAGTATCAGTACCTTTGCTTCTCTCTGCACGCAGGTCAGCTGTTGTCATTGAAACAGAAAACCCAGACACACATCCAACCCTCCTGCGGCGGCTTCCCTTCCACCAGCGCCACAGCAAAAGCCGCGCGGAAGCAATCGCCCGCTCCTCAGGTCAAAGCGAAGGGACTACGGGTTTACAGAGCATCATGAGTTCCCAGAAGGACATTTCAGTCGAGGCCCCGCTTCTTGTCAACTATCAGTGAAACTCATCCGGGGACTCGCACTAAACTACGCCAGGAAGCCAGGAAGGACTTGCAACACAGCTTGTTTCAAGCATGTGTTCTTCTGGTTCACCACAACCGAACAACCGCCGACCGGAGCATGTCTGTGCCCAAATGGAAGCACGCTTGTCAGGGCGCTTTGAAGTTGGCATTTTCGCTAAGTTCGTTGCTCCTGCGCAGTCCCTCCTCGCTTCCCTCTAGAGCAGAGAACCATCCGATTTCGAAGGCCAAGGTGAAGGCAACCAGCTCTCTGCTTGAATTCGCATGAGTTTCCTTTAGAAACATCCACGTCCTAGTCTCCTGCAATTGCAGTTTCAGTCTTTCGCGGCCCTCTGCTGCAAGATCGCCAAGATGTCCTGATTCTGCAAAACCGCAGGTTGATGCAAGCCGCTCACATCCACGGCTCCTGTTCGCCGGGTGCCAAGACCACTGAGCAAAGGCCGGGAATTTGGAGAGGGAACCGGGTGGCGCCGGGTGCTGGCAGTGGAGTGGTGCGTATCGCCACAGGTACCTAGTGCATCCCTGCGTTCAGCACCGGAGCGACCACCTGCCTTGCCAAGTCGTTGGGGCACACCTTGCATCCGCGACAATGCATGGCACAGGCGGAGTGAGTGCCTCTCACTGAGCACCTCTGGATCTTGGTGGTGCAGAACTCGCAGCTGCGCTAGCAACGAGTCCAGGAAGGACTGGCTTCCAAGCCTCATGTTGCCCATCGTTTCGCAAATCTCTGTGATCAGCTCGACGCTAAGATCCCGCAGGCGATGAGTCAATGAGTGAAGCGTCGAGTTGGCCATCTGATAAAGATCCGTCTTCGTAGTAGCAGTGAAGCCGTGCTTTTTGCGTGCCAACTGGGCCAAAAGGCGTGTGATGTGGAGGACATCTGCAGGCTCAGCGAAGTACGCGGCCGAAGTCATGCGCCATGCCAGCGGGAGCCACCGATCCTCAGCAGCGTTGTTTGTGAGAAGCTCATTAGCCTTGCTCAAGATGTCCTGCACAGTGTGGCATGGCCGTTTCAGCACATAGGGCGGTTTAGGAAAAATCCGTCCTGGCCCCTGAGGCATAACGGCATCGAAGGAACCAACGCTTTCCAAGGCATCTGTTGCTGCATGTCGCAGTGGTACATCGCTCGCCTCGTTAGCCCGAACTTGGCTTTCCAGCAGCTCATACCTCTTAGAGCCCTTCGCAATTTTGTTGGCCGTGGCGAAACGCAGGCGCTGTGGCAAGGACATCCTCAAACTCTCAGTTAAAGGAGGAACTGGGAGAACTGGTTGGTTTCGGGCTCCGAGAAGCGGGAAAGTTCCTAGAGCCACCTTTGCCAGCCGCTCCTCGTCATGGTCCAAAATGGACCGCTGCAGCTCATGGATTCTCTCACGACGGGCTGGGAAGGCCTCGGGAAGTTCTGGTGATTCTCTCGGTGACAAAGCCGAGACTGCAGCTCCTTGCCGTGCTTCTGTGTGTGTCGATGCAGTGGTCGGAGAAGTGCAAGTCGATGTGCAATCTCTTGTGCCCACTACGTGGAGCCTCCCTTGTGGACATGAATTTGGCTTCGACTGCAACTCGTTTTGGTGTACGCTCTCGACGCCTTCCTCCGACATTGCGAAATCATTCAACGTTGAAGCACGGTCCTTCAAGTGATGTTGCAGGTTTGCCTTGGCAAAGGTCTCCACGTCTTCTTTCTTCCTTGACGAAGATCGGGCTGCTGCAATGACAAGCTTCTCTGCACTGGCCGGTTCATCAATCGTAACATACGAAACGTCCTCCTGGCCAAGCGGGTTGCTGCGGTACGTGCTTTCAGGCCAAACCGCAGACTGAAGTCGGATTTCTGCACGAACCTGCTCCCATCTGAACTCACGGAAGCTGCCCATGAGTCACCGCGTGGTGTCGCATAGCATGGACATGCATGGACACTGCATGACACTTGGTTCTATGAGCTTTGCATGTTTTGCACGAATTGCTCCAGCCTGCCCGAAGCCACAGAAAGTTCGTCATGCTAGAACGAGGCTAGCCTGCGGTCACTGTATGGAACCCCGAGCGAATTCATCTGAAAATGGCCTATGCAACAGCCTCGTTACCTGATTGCTGCACAACTCTCGACCCGAAGCGGCTCCAATCGGACAGAGCTGTGAGAGCGCAAATATCTTCTCCGTTTAGCAACCGCAAACCTCACCGAGCCGCACATAGGATACTGAACAAGTCTCAATGTCTTCAAGTCTGAACGAGGCGGGGTAGTTCGGAGTTCGGGAAGCGCTACCGAAGTGACGCAGCACAAACATTCTTCCAAAGGAGCACAGAATCCTGGAATCCCGTGTTCACAAAATTGGCATTCGTCGAACTCGGTTCGCGGCCCGTGGTGTCCACGACTTTTCCGCCAGGCCTCGGTAAGCGCCGTGACATCAAAGTCGCTGTTCTAGAAGCCGGCCCTGAGCTTAACCCTTTAGCCCTCAAACATGCTCCAAGCTTTGCGATTGCCGGCGAGGGCTTTGCTAGCAGTCTGTACAGTAACTCTTTGGACCGACGAGGCCCGAGTCACGGTATCGAACTCTGCCGTCACGCACACAAATAGGCTCTCAGGTGCACGCACTGGAAAGCTGGCTTGTCGCAGAACCTGTTTTCATGAGGCTTGCTTCCGGGTTCTGCGCCGAAAACTATGACTTGATATCTGGGTCACAGCATACTTGCAGCAAGAAAATGCATGGCAAAAGGCCTGGCCCTGGGCAGTGACCAGTACAGCCCCATCCTTTCCTCGGAGCTCGGATGGATTCTCTTCTTCCTCTCCTATGCTGGTAAAAAGACATCACCCATCTCTGCGCAGGGTTCTGTATGAATGAACAACTCATTCCTGAGTCAGTTGGATTCTCGGTTTCCACAACAAGCTCCTGCATCTGGCATGTCACCTTTTTCGCCGTGCACTTCTGTTCTCAGCTGATGCACCCAGCTGATGCCCGGCTGTATCAAGGCCTCTACACTCTACACAGAAACTTATTCCAAGCATATCCAAGTCTTCGAGGCTTGCACCTACTGGATCGCCTCACCGCTTCGGTGCTGTCCATGCGACATAAAGGCCATGCTTCTAATCTTCTTCTTATCATAGGCCCTTCGCTGAAGGCTACTGAAGGATCCAGGAAAGGCTGTACGAGGGTCCCCAAACGGGGTTCTGGGTGCCCGCAGGCCTTAGAACCTCTGCTAGTGCGCGGTGCTCGCCTGCCGCCCGCCGGAGCGACTCAGTTGTAGACCATGTACTTCGGAGTCGCAGAGAACTTCGAATAGCCTTTGATAACCTGAGTTGCAGAAAGTGACTAGCGGCACTAGCACTTCCACTTCACAAGGCTTCCGTAGGCTATTGCATATGCAACTCGCCTTGTTGATGGCGTCTATCAGGTCTTTCTCCTCAGCTTCCGGCAACTTTCCTGACCTACACTTGTCCGTGCCGAAGACAACCCGAAAAGCCTTTCGGGCTCAAGCAATTGGCTCGGTGGTCCGAACTGCAGACGCGTGTTGATCAGAGCTTGCACGACAAACTGAACATGCAGCATGAGCTGCAGTGTAGCTACAGGATGGCACAGCATACATGCCTTAAACAAGCAGGTCCGCTTGCAGCTTGTGGCTCGGAGATGCTCTTTCGACGGGCTCGGATGGCATACATGCCAGCTTCTGTGCAAACGCTGCGGCACTCGGCACCTTGCACACGGGCACACCGTGCAAGCCGAAGACCTTGACGCTGAAGCCACATGAATCTAAACCGTCAAGCATGCCAGCCGCCTGTGGTGTTAGGGCAAAGCCGTGCTAGGAGCTCAAATCGCACATCTCTGTCAATTGCCATTGTCCTGAGATGTACAACATGGAATGCCCTGTCACCTGAAGCACAGATACAACCAACGCTGGAAAGTTCTGCACGCTTTTAACAGAGAGTCTTTGCGTGGATCTTGAAGATATGCGTGCGCCCTTCCAAATCAGGCAGGCCGAATTCGATTTTGCGGTCCAGACCTCGCAGCACATGGGGCAGCCCGAACCCCACCAGTAGCTGGCCGGACATCCAGCACTGCGAGCGCCTAACTTGGGTCCTGACGACCGGGTCTCAACAATGCGGGGTCCAGTGTGTCAGGGCGGTTTGTCGCCATGAGAACCTGGCTGGTCAGCCAATCATGTGAGCGCACGATGGCCTTTCTGCACCTTTTTTGGGCACAGTTTGGTCCGCCCGGTAAAGAGCACACATCATTGAAGGACGATTTGCCGCACCCTCCTCGTCATTCTGAGCCTATAGTCATGACTTATTTACATCATCTCTTCGAGACGCAAGACTCTCAGGAACGTCGTGTGCGTCGTATGTTGCAACCCGTGCAAAATGATCGCAGCCGTTGCAAATGCCAGACTTGCTTCGCGCAAGGTCAATGTAGCGATTCACGTGCCTGTGCAGACTGCAGATGAGTGGTAACCGGCTTGTGATAGCTCCTTCTCGTCATGTCAGGTCATGTGACCGCACAGAGATTGTGAGTTTGATCGCGCTGCTGCTGTGCACTCGTAAGGGCCACCTCGCCGAAGCTGGAAAAAGAAAAGGTGGAGCTTTTTCCAGATTGACCGCCTCTATGCGGGGCCTTTCCGCGCAGTATGTCCAGTCTTGTCAAACCAAATACCAAGCCTCTTCTTATGCTTAGGTCTTCTCCCGCAGGTGTAGTGCCTCCTGCGCCCCCAATAGAATGGCCTTTTTCCTTTGAAGGTGGGGTTGTTTTGACAGTCACAGACGAAAACAGCTCCTAACCCGTAGCCCTGGCACCACTCTATGCCATTACCGCGGCAAGGTTCTCTTCGATTGAGAGCCCCCCATCCACCATCTGCCGTGGATCCAGCTCCAATCCATGGTAGTGGTCAGGGTGGAACACCTCCCGATAAGACACCTTGTGTGCGTGCGCTGAAGTTGACTGTCCAAATATTTCGTCTAAGCAATCTGACAATCACTAGCTCAGATCCCTGCTTTGCCCTGCATCCAGGGTGCCACTTGACGCCAGAAGCTTGGAATTTGCTCTGTTGGAACAACTTCTATTCTCTGTTCTTGCGCCCAAGCGGTCAGGACAAACTCGACGTGCACCGGCTTGAAGTAGCTCCACGTGAGCAGAGAGTATTGACTCCTGCAGAGACAGAGGTACTACACGTGTCGCGCCGGGCCATATGCACATGTTCGCGGGATTACGAACGACCGCATGGATAAAGAATCTTCAGGCTGGCACGGCAAGCTACTCGCAGCAAAAGGCATCGGAAAGCACATTGAATCTTCACTTTCTGCTGAAGAAACGTCCTGAGCAAGTGCAGCGCAGCCCCCAAAGAGCATCCGACTGACATCATCGATGACTCACCTGGGTGCTGGAGCACTGCGCAACTTGAAATTGGAGTTCAGCATGCTCCATGCACTCAAGTCTGGCTCCGAATTGAGCGTGCCACTGTACTGCTGACTGATGTTTCCAGGAGATTTGGCTTCGTCAAAGGGAATGGATAGCCCGATCTCTGGGGGCAAGTAGGAGTGGACAATCTCCATGTGAATCACCAGTGGCAGGTACCTCGCAACACGCCGACTGGAACAGCTTTCGGCACTTAGCATCCGTGCGCAGGCTCAGGCATTTTAACAATAAATTTCCAGAGTCCGCTTCGAACCGCTGCAAGCCGCCCTGCAGAAAAAGCATCGACCGCCCGCTCTTCGACACTGTGAACACCACTCTGCCCCTCCAACCTCCCATCCTTTTCCCCCCTGCAAATGTTGCCAACCAACTAATGCGTTGTTAAAGTCAAGTCAGTGAGGTGAGGGAAGACGGAGGTGCGAGCGGAGGCTAAGCAGGGTCCGGCCCGGGACCAATGCATGCCTCGCTACACAGGCCTACTTAAGGTTTTTCTCACAATCTGCTCACGAACCCTCCGGCACACAGCTGGCTGACAGTTCTGGCACATCTGGAAGCCCAACAGACACACTGCTTGAACAACTTTCACGAGCAGAACAGAAAGTCACACAAATACTTGTTCGAGGCTACAAGAAAGGCCATCAGGCAGGTCAAAGATGGTGCGGAGAATGCAGGAATAGATGTGTGGCAACGCTTGGAGGCGGTTGGAGGCTGGAGTGGAGGGGCCGTAGTGGAGTATTGTTCAAATGAGGACTTCATGTGTGTTTGCCCAGGCAGGGGAAGTCTGTCATTCTACTTACCTCGGGTGACACAAGCAGCCGATCATGTTCAGCTGACAGCACCTATCCAACTGCTCGCTGTATATGGCCTACAGATTTTTAGGGGTTGCTGAAACCTTGTTCCGGTTTGAATGTCTTTTAGCCGAATTCCGTAACCTGGCACACAAAGGCCCAGACCCTGCTTCCAACCACACCGCCAGGTAATCGCAGTCGCCATTGTCCTTGCGATGGGGGAGCTCATGACCCTTTAATCGGCCTTTGCAATACCCCTTTGAGCTGGTTTCCGGTTGTGCCAACTATGCAAGACAAGCATTCAGCACAGTGCAGTCCACGTCAATCTTCAGCAGAGCCGGAAAACGAGCATGCAGTGGCTCCGGGGCAACTTGGAGCCTCAAAGCCGGACAACGCAGACTGCGACCACTATCATCAAGCGTCATTGGTTGCAACAGTCTGTGTATGAAATACACTAAACTCTGCCGTCACGCTGTGGCTGTCTGGTCAGGTCGCAACTGCTCCACAAAGCGACCAGGGCTCACCAGCTCTGAGACCAGTACGACCTGCAACAAAACACATGTCGCCAGACATCCGACATGCAGGATAAAAGCCGATGTTCCCTAGCAACGGTGTTTCGCACGGTCAGGAGTCGCTCGTGTTTCCTGCTCCTTGCCAGAGCTACTTGGACTCGGAAGTGCGGGACACTTCGGACTAGCCTCCTGTCGGCGACCAAATCGCAATCGCAGGTCTTCCACCATCTTGGGATCGATCTGATCGGGTTCGCCCGAGCTCAAGAGCCGGAGCTCTACGACACAAAGCTTTAAGGCTCCAGGCCTCGAAAAGGACGGCGCCGAATGAACCTGAGTCAGTCGGTACCCCTGAAAGTTGCAGCTGCCCAACAACCGAGCCCCACCTGACCGTTCGAGGAGGCAATTTGCAGGGTCGTGCCTTCGGCTTCAGCGGCTTCTTGCGAGCAAAGATACTTGAATTGACAAACTAACACAGCACTTGTGTTTGGGGTCTCCCCAGAGTTGCGGCGTGGAGTTTTGAGGCGCAAAAAAATCTCAAGAGTTTGGGTCAAGTTATGGGGCGCAGCTGCCAGCAAGAGAGCCAAGTTGGACCGAGAAGAGTGTTGCACGACAGCCGACCTTCGGCTTAAGCAAGATGGTGAGCGACGCATAAAAACTCAGATAAACCCTGTCCCGATGTGGCCCATGTCTGGACCACTACAGCTTGCTCCACTGCCAAATGCCTTTGCAGGGGTTGCCGGTACCAGACACTTCAAAACGCCATCGGGCAGGGCCGGGTGAAGTTTCTGCTGCGGGGCTCTGTGGGATGCGGTGGAATTTGCGGTGGAGTTTCTGTGAAATTTTCTAGAAGGCATTTCAACCCATACAAAATTTCGCCGACGCTTCGCCGCATTCTCCGCCGTGACCTCCGCCAGGCTACTCCGCCGGGCAACTCCGCCAGGCAACTTCGCCAAAAACTACGCCGCAACCTTCGCCGCGGAAACTTCGCCACGAAGCTGCGGCACCAACTCTACCATGTTACGATCCTCTCACTGTGAAAAAAATCGCCAAGACTGAAGAAGCCAGCAGCATATCTCGTGGTTTCTTTTCAGCAGAGCATCCAAACGAGTTCAATCACAAGCCATCGAGCAACACAAATGCCGCACATAATGTTCACATCAGTCTTTCCTGCAACGGAATCTGAAAAAACAAAACATCACACGAACTTCGCTCAGCAGGACAGCGGACATAACAGCACTCGTTGACTCCTGGCTAGCTTCCGTCTGTAGTGTAATCTCAGCGAGCGCGAGGACATGTTTTTTCAAGGCCCTTGCGGCTTGGGCCGACCCTACACGACGTGCCCTGATGAGGTGCGTCGCGCGCGCCCACCCTCGTGCACGAGCATTCTGCGCACGGTTCGGGTGCTCTGGTGGGATCAGTGGCACGCAAGGGGCCAGCATCATTAGCATCAACGGTCTTCACCGAGACCTTGCGAAAGCACATACAATACAGGCTTCCACCGCCTGCTCGAGCATCTCGAGCTCTCACCATGGGAGGCGACTCGCTTAGAGACTCCACGCTCTTGTCGTCTCCGCTCTTTTGCTTCTTCCATTGTTCGCTCGACGCTCGAGATCACCCTGACGATGAAGCTTGTAGAGTGACACACTCCTAGCTGCGAGCCTTCGGGTGGTGACTCCGCCTCTGGGTCAATGGCCATAAGGCAATAAGACAGGCCAAGGCCAGGGCTGGCCGGCGCCGAGGTTCACGATCATGGGAAGGCCGGGCCCGAAGTCGCGGTCAGTTAGGAACACCTCCAACGGTAGGACCCTGCGGCGAATGTTGAGATTAAGACGAATCTTCCAACCCCCTTCGAGCCTCCAAGATCCGAGACTGCGTCAGGAAAACTGCCTGGATTCCACCGCGATATGCTAAGACTGCTACTTGTAAGATTTGATACTCCCGACCGACAAGACAATACCAGTAGCTGTTCCAGCAGAAATGCCTTCCACGTGTTTCGTGCATCGAGGAGCATGGCTGGATGAAAAGTCTGATATCTCCCCATCTAGCCGATGTGCACGGCGCGGATGCAGCCCTGGACCACATGCGTCGAAGTCGGACCTTGACTGCAACGCATGTTGCAAAGGTATGGTATTGTTACGAGTGGAAAGACCTCACCCCGTCCAAGCATGCCATCAAGCTACACAAACTCACCCCCAAGAGTCCATGTCGCTGCGTGAGAAAGCACGGTTGCTAACCTAAGCTGCAGTCAACTCTGTAGACATAACAATGTCAAGCTGCCGCATGCTGATTCCCTCAGTCTCAGCGAGCCACGTGGGTGCCTTGGCCCGGCCCTGCTGCTTCCAAAAGAGCTTTGCCACGTAAGCGGCCAGCCTGCAAGGCTGCAAGGGGTCCAAAGAGAGAGAGGTTTGTGCATGTGATGGCTCCTGCAACTTGACAGCAGTGGGCATTGGAACGGTGCCTGTCCAGCACCTCTCCGAAAAGGTCGCCCTGCCCGAGCGCAAGATGCTCGTAGAAGTGATCCTTCTGTAGTACGTCCTGCCAATGGCCCCGGCCCCAGCAGAATCCTGCCTGGCGTGCCACTCGCACCGGCATCGTTTCAACGTTTCTCCTGACATAGGCTTCCCATCTCCAAGCACTGCATCTCCTGGACCGAAACTGGGTCTCGTTTGCACTGCTGCGGTGAGGATCACTGACCCGCCGCTCATGCCCGACCAATGTGACAGGTCATGCTTGCAACCGAAAAGTATCGACGGACAGCAAGCACTGGAGTCGGGAGGGGCTTGCATTCTGGTACATGTCTTTGCAGTTCTCCCGGGCAATTCGAACAAGTCAACATTAATTACTAATGTAAGACAATACAAGACATCTAGGAATCTAGCACTGCAAGTCGGGAAACCAGATGGTCCACCAGCGCCATCACGAGATCGTGGTGCTCGGCGGTGCCGCCGTAGTAGCAGTTCACTTGCCTCCGGAGAGCTCATAAGTTAAGCAATCGAGAGCCGCCACTAAAGAACACGAGGCGTCAAGCCAAGTCTAGAGTCTACAGACATCAACGCAAAGATTCGATCGGGAGACGGAGAAAAACGGTTAGACAAAGACAAAGAGAGGGAGGGAGTAAAGGAAGTAAGGGCCGCAACAACTAGTGCACTGACAAAGCAGGGCGCTTGAAACCAAGAAACCGTGCCTTGCGTAGCAGGTCATATCCCCCAAATCTATCAGGAAGTTTAGAATAGGGAGCAGCTCCAAGGGCTCTTCCTCGGCAGTCTCGTAACAATCGGCGGTCATGAAGTAGACGGCGCTGACGTGATCTGCAAGTGCTCTGACCATGTCCAGCCGAGCTCTGCTCGACTCGGGACAGTACGCAGGGCGCTCTGCCATACTTGGTGGGCATGGCTTGCGCACGAGGCCGTCCTGTCACTCGTGGGCTGAGTGAAGGCTTTCAGACCAGCCCGGCTGTATCCCAGTGGTCCTAGTCCTAGTGCATCAGCAATGCTTTCAACCTGAATGCAAGATAAACCAGCACAAGATGCACAAGGCCTTGCTCAGCGCACCAGCACATATTAGCAAACAAGCAGTGCTCTGAAGACTGCCCATGGCAAACCGGGCATTGAGCCGATGCGATGCTTCAATCGATTCGGTTCGAGTTTAGTTCCATCACAACCTTACATTACGCGCAGATGACATGCCGGCGACCATCTTCAAGGCACAGTTCATGTGCAAAGTTCGATGCGCAGACATGTGGGCCAACCGCAAATTGAATTCGCCTCGGCCCCGGCCGAAGCGGTCAGAGGTTCCTATTCGGATTCTCCTATTCCCCACCTCTTAATCCCCTCCCCAATGACCCCACCCCCAAAATCCTGGCCACCGCCCCCCCCCCCCCCCCCTAAAAAATGGAAACGTGTCGATGAGCTCCAGTGAATTCTCGCTTGGCTTTCTGTGGCAGTCCCCCCCCTCCCCCCCCCCTCCCCTCCCCCCCCCTCCCGCCTCCCCTCCCGCCCCTCCTCCGCTCGCTGACAGGTGCGAGCTTTCTGGAGTTTTCGACGACACGGGACTGCAATGTAGCATTTTTATGTGCGTCTCAGGCTTGTTTTAGACGCCCTTTCGTTGGGATAGGCGGAGTAACGTGGTTGAAAAGGCTGTGATGCTTCCCTAATCCAAGACTCCCACGAAATCCACAGCCTCAACGGCCCATACTTAAAGCATCCCGCCGCTTGCGAGAGTCTTGGTATCCAGTGTTTCGGAATGACGACACCAAAATTCGTACTGATACTACCACTACTAATACTACTCACAATCATCCTGCTTCGTGTTGCTATGAACATTACTTTTACTATAAGTGCGATTCCAACTGTTACTTTTTTTCCTACAAGAGCTTGCTGCAGATAGTAGCCACTCGCCGCATGCGCGTACAGCCGGGCCGAGGCGGACGACGCGCAGCGTTTCAAATTAACTGGTAGGTACTTACGTTCTCTATGCACTAAGATGCACTAAGTCTCTAAGTCATGACATGCCAATGCCAACTCCGTCAGGGAGTTGGCCTCTCGGGAGTGGTGCGGCGGTGCAGGACTGTTGAGCCGGCGGCACGGCATCAGGACCAGGACAAGACTGAAGAACCCGACGCAATGGCCAGTTGCAAGCAGGGCTTGCCTTGACATTGCCACGAGAGTCAAAGCCATCTAACTGATTCACGATTTCCAGCATTGTTCGTTGGACCTGTCAAACAACGAAGGCAAACGGCCCGTGAGCATGGATGGGTCAAGCTTCGTGCAGACTCAACCTCTGAATTAGTGTCGATGCCAGATCATGCCAGCCCTGTTTCAAATTCGTCTTGTGGCTGTGATCGCAACAAATGTGTCGACCCGCCTCGCTATCACTATTGCCTTCATCTCCACCACGGGAGCCACCGATGGCATCTACCTCGTCGATGAAAAGGATGCAGGCCTTCTTTGTCCTGGTACAACAATCGGCAGGGCAGAATGGTCAATTAAAGGCTGGCATAGTACATGAAGGTGATTTTATATTTTGGCATCCATATTGGGATTTTTTGCGTCGTAGATACGACCAGGCACAATGATGGCCGTCTATCCAAACTTCTGCATGTGAAGTCCTGGCAAGCTGGAAGAGCTCGCGCACCATGCGTGCTCCTTCACCGACGTAGCGCTGGACAAGCTCGGAGCCAATGACGCAGATGAAACATGCATCGGTACCTCAGCTGCACTTCCACACTATGATGCACCAGCGATAGTTGCTCAAAGTGCTCAGAGGTTTTTTGTGTCACGTGCACAGCTCTAACGATATCGCATACGACTTGAGATGTCACGTGCTTCCTGCCGAAGGCAAAGTAGCAAAACAGCGAAGTTACACTTGCAAAGCTGCTTTGCCATACAGCGCATTGAGTGTAAGATCCCTGCGATTTGCCACCGCACGTGCGGTCAGGGTCTTCCCTGTGCCCGGCGGCCCGTACAGCAGCACACCCTGAGACAACATGGCAATCATCCCCTAATCGCGAGATGTCGTGTGGGTTCGTGGAATCATCAACGGGACGGCAGTTCCTGGCCTTGGGCGGGTCAATGCCTAGAGCAACGAACCGCTCTGGTTGGAGCAGTGGCATTTCCACAACCTCCCAAAGGGGCAAAGCAAAGCTGGAGGCTCCTTCGACCCATCTGCGCCATCAGCTTCTAACGGGTTTCTGGCCAAACAGATTTGCGGTTTTAACGGCCTCTCGAAGCCGCTCCAGCTGCTCCTTGGCGCCACCCACGTCGTTGTAAGTGACGTCAGGCTTCTCCTGCGAGCATCATGGGACCATGCGAACACACAGCGTGCTCATGCCACTTTTACTGGGGTGGAACAACCGTCAGCTATCTGGAGCTGTGTTAGGAGGGTCGCAGCGAAACACCTACGACCTACGTCGCGGCTTGCCCCAGCCCATGATAGTCACAAATATGAGCACGAAACAGTGCACCCACCGCATCCTCGACCGTCATCATTGTCACTGATGGGTCAATTTTTGGTGGCAGCGGGATTTGAATTCGGTACCTGGGGCTGGCACAACAGAGGCTCAGTTGCACCGCGAAACCGCAACTCGAGAGTGCTCACATGTCTGCTGTTCCTTCCTATCCTGGCCTATCACATTCAAGCCGAAGGCATGTCTGGGGATCCGCACTTTCCTCCATGGGATGTGTCCACACCGACGCGCATACTTTCCTCGATGTCAGTGGCAGACACCTTCTCACCAAGGCCGACAACAAACTTGGCGAACTCACGGATCTTGATGACGTACCTGACTGAGACTGCCGTCAAGCATGAGAAAAGAAGAGATTCATTGAAGGCTAAGTTGCTTGGTGTCATCTGTGCCCGGATCAATAATCTTGGTCACCCGGGCGACTTGCAACGCTTGCTCCTGGCTTCGCAGGAGGGTCATGTCTGGTCGGTCTGCACACACAGCCGCATTTCCCCAAGCACGTCCAGAAAGCGCTTCACTCGTTGTGGTATATATGTATGTACATATTGTGTGTCTTCCGCATGTACCTGCGGTCTGTTTCAGTAGAACTACTGCGAAGGCGAGTTCAATAGTTCAATACGTTTGAGAGCGCAAGCGGTATGCTGTCCTTATCAGGAAAAACCACATTCCAACCGTCCTGCTTCATCATCTGTTTGTCGCCTTCCAAATCCCACTGACTTGGAGGGGCCAGGCCGGTGTCAGATTCCTGCGGTCAAACCAGTCAAGCTAGACTCTGGTAATCTGCACGCTCCCGGAGAAGGCCTTCACAGAGTCTGCGACATGTGACGGTATCCCTTCTCTGTTGGCCAAAGAGCCGGGGGGGGCAAGTACCCCGACAAACAAGAAGCTCCTTAACTCCGATAAGCTTGTTGATCTTGCTGATGTACTCTTTGGCTTCCTTCCTGGTCTGTGACGGAATTCGGCACCCCATGCCACTCTGATTTAAGATACATGGCGAGCTCCGAAACCAGTCGCACCACATTCACTTATTGTCAGCTTGGTAACTCTGCAATCTTGATTGGCCCGACATAGGGGCCAACGCCTTCAATGAGGCCGTGTTGTTGACAGCGGAAACTCTACGACTCGACATTTGGCTTCCCGGCCGTAAGTGCGCATGATAATGACGTCGTCTTCATCGAGTGCTTGAGTTGTAGGCTCATCCTCATCCTGCTGCATCAGCATGGGGACATGCTGGACACCCCATCACACCATGCCAAAGAAGTTTGCCCGTGCGCAGAAGCAGAGTCCTCTACGCCTTTGCTGCCCTGCTTATTTGCCATTTGGTTGTCCTTGGAAGCTTCAAGATATGAGCACCTCCTACTTCGTGTCGGGCAACGTCTCACAGCGTGACGAGGCAGACTCAATAGTTTTTCCAATTTTGGCTGTGGAACACCTGGCTACACTCGTAAGGTCGGGGCCAAAGAATCTTGCGGCATGGCTCCGAATTGAAGGGGTGAACTCTACACAAACAATGAGCTGGTAACCCTGCGGCGACATGGAACAATTGATTTCAAACAGTGAACTACGCCAACTGAAAAATCAAGCCTGGCAGCCGTTGGCGATGCGTGCTACTCATCTCATCTCGGTCCATCCCCAAATCCAGGGCCGAGACCAAGAGTGCAAAGGACATTCTTGACACCCCTCTTCTGCAAACTCCTCGCCAGCGGATCTGCCGTGCCGATGCAGTGCCAGTACACATCACTTGCAAGCCCCTGTTGCAACGTACGAGATGGACAACTTCCATGCGTCCTGGCCGCTGCCACCTCAGCGCCCAATTGCTGACACAGCATATGTCACTGCCAAGATTTCTTCCACAAGTCCCTGGCAACTTTTGCTTCCGAGTCCTTGGCTGCAACGTGGCCGCTCCGCTCAAACTATGCTGGTGCCAAGTGTTTAATCTGTTTTAATCTCGTGATGCGAATCGAGGGTCTGTTGCCATGCCGGTTAGCCTCTCGAGCTCAGTCCTGAGGTCTCACATTCTTCTCACTTCGATACAACATTGTAGCGTACCGCATGCACGAAGAGCCTGTTGCTGATTCAGCGCTCAGCCCCGCACTCATTTGGGCAGATATAGTCCAGCCTGTAGCTGCAACTCATGCCCAACCTTTTCTTTCACTATATTGATTGCACACCCGCACCCTTGTACTTCTATGTTCTTGTCTTGAGCCGTCAAGTACTTCCCCTGAAGATCCGCTCGTTGTTCGATGTTGGCAAGGTGAATCTGCTGAGCTTCCTGCTTTTTCAGATGCCTCGGAACCAAGTCAAACGAACCACTCACGAGGAGGGAATATGACTGAACCTTCGGATCTGCGCTAATAGTCTATGGTCGCGCACCGCGACATCTCCGCCAGGTCCAATGTACGAGTACTGGGTCGCTAGTTGTCGTGCTTGTCATGCCAGTGGTTGTATTGATGTCACGAGCACTCGTGCGGCGTCCCTGGCTCAGCGGGGCACTCGTCCGGAAAGTCCCGTTCTTCGCCACCAACATCTTGAATAACAGGCACCTTCTCCGTTGATCCCAGACTCTTAGACTCCTTTTTGGTGTGGAGGGGTTCGCAGGCTGGCCACAAGAAGCCGAGGCAGCAGCGCCCGCTGCATAGGCAACGGAGGCCACGGCCTGGCGGGGTCTGCTTAAAGGCTTTGACTTTGACTCAGTGGCGACCAGCCAAGCCTTGACCTAGCAGTGTGCTTTTGTCTGTGATGGCCTACATTCCTACATCGCTGCTTACATGAGTAGCAGGCAGCCTTTCCACGAAAGGGGGCGCCGATAGGATTCCAAGGTCCCTATGTGCCGATCTGCCAGCCTCATTGACGTACTTTGGAATCTCTTGTTGGAGTAGGACGGCGCTCGCCCCCTCTATGAGCCTTGCCGGGGTCAGCCCATGACAACGCCCTCGACTGGCAGCGGCAGTGAATAGCATAATCGGGGCCCTGGGCCTCTGGAAGTCGGCAACTTCTGCGGGCCACGCCACGTTCGACCCGCCGACGATGAGAATGGAGTTGGAACCTTCGAAGATCTTCGAAGCCGTCAAGCAAGCCCCCTTTGCTGCGCTGCAACGCCAGCCAACATGCTGTACGCCGCTTCAGCGAACGACTGAACTGGGGAAACGGCCATCTGCCTCTAGGAAAATGAAAGCTTGCCCAGACCTGTCGGGTAGATGCCACGTATTTCCACGTGCAAACCGTTCAAGCTCTTTGACACCGTTAATGCATGACACACACTCACTTAATCTCGCTTACTCATACGCATCAGCTTCCGGCGGCTTCTGGGCCCGGCCGCAGCCGCTGAGATCTAAGCCGTTGTCCTCAGCCCAACAAAGTCAAGCTTTCGAGCAATATGCTGCTTGAGGCAACGGCCTGCAGCCTGCAGAGATATGTTTCTTGGATGATCCGAGCTCCCTCCCCACTCCTCCCATTCCTTCCTTCTGCCGGTGTCCATCATCCACTCACTTTCTTGTGCGAATCACCTCTCGATAAGGTCGTGGAATCCCGACGTGCTTTTCTGCTTGAGAGTGTTTAGAAGAGCTTGACAGACCTTCAAGCTTCTCAAGCTCCAGGCTGCCCAGGGTCCGATTCCAAGTCAACATGATCCTGAGGTTTGCCCGCCCAATGCGTGGTGATGGTTGAAGCCGAGCTTTGCTGCTCGTGCTGTACCTGGCGCCTACGAGGCAAGACTGGCCGCTGCTTTGGCCGCGGGACAAAACGGAATTGTCGCTTCAAAACCGTGCAAGATGCGTACAGTTTCCAGCTGAGTTGCCACGAGTACTTGCTCCAGCTTTGTGGCATGGGAGTCCTGGGCGGTGCAGGCACAGCTCCAGAACGATTTGATTTCAGTATCAGAAGGAGTTCGTGTACCTCGCCCTTTCGAGACAGGACGGCTCTGCTGCGCATTGACTGAGCAGGGACTGTACGTTCGACAAGGTGCAGTAAGCCACAGGCATTTCCGAATTGACAAACGAACTGAGCCTGCGGAGTAAGTGTGTTGACGTGCACTCATGGAGGAATCATAAGGACCCTTAGAGGGGTAGGGGGCCTTTTTTTGCCACCCGCCCAGCTGAACAATGTCGCACCGCAGGGAACTCGTCGGGTGGGGGCCTTTTTTTTGGCTCCCGCTTGGCTGATCCGCAGACCGGTGGGGGCCTTAATGCCCAGAATAAGGACCCAATAAGGCCTATCTAAGGAAGTATGGTGCCCTACCCCCCTGCCCCTACCTCCCTAAGGGTCCCTATGAAGGAATGTTCGCAAGCTGTCGTAAAGAGCCCTCGCTTCTGCATCGCTCTCTCTCCTTTCTGTCGCTGTCTCCGAAGGTCAGCAGTGCCTAGGCCTAGGCGTGTCCTGAACTTCTACGTGTTCCTATGACCGCGAAGCAAGTGATAGTACTGCGAGGCCACTAAGAAAGGAATCAACTCGGCATGGGCTCATGTTCCCAGCCTTCCTGGGAGTACCAGCTGCAAGGCGCGAAGCTGCTACTGCCTGGTTAGCGCCTTGCAGGTACAGACATGCTGCCAAGAAGAAACATGCGAACCTTCTCATGGAGTGCTCTGTAACGAAAACCAGCATACGACTCCATTCAGGTACCGACTGATGAACCTTTAAGCTGCCTTAGTTTTCGAAGCTTCAGTTATTGTCGGGATCCCTTCGAGAGAGCAGGCCTTTGCCGCCCGGCACCATGACCCCCGTGTCTGCACCTGGATAGTGCACGAGGAACGGTAGAGAACCGCCGCCGAGCCAAAGAAGGTAGTCAAGATCTCTAGATCTCCCTCACGTTCCTTTCGATGATGTCTATGTCGGAGTGCTTGCACGCACCCGCGTGTGCTTTCCCAACCCCGGGGCTACGGCTGCGGGTCCCCAGGGTCTCGCCCTTCTTCGGGAAACGGTTGATCCTGAGCCACATGGACTGGTACTGCAAGACGCCCATCAGTACTCCAGGGCAGAAACCTGAGAGGCCTGCTCTATGATAATGTCTGCATTGAGAGAGCCGCACACCTCATTTGCGAATGTCCGAGCGACGGGATTTCGACATGTCATCGGCAGGGGCTCAATGCGGTTGGAAGCCTATGCGGTGTCATGCTGTGCGTGCCTTTTTGCCCCGTGCTGTCACAGCTCTGGAGTCCATTCCTCCTTTGGTGGACCAAGACAGCCGAGACCGGTGCTGAAGCCTGCCGTCCGAGTTCCATTGGCGAGGTGGTTTCGGCTCAGGGCTACGGCACTGTGACTGCAATGGCTACGCGTAGACTGGCGTAGACTTGCAAAAACAACGACTAAAGCCGTTAAGACGAGTCGGGACTGTAGATCAAGATGATCCAGATGCTTGAAGGTACAAAGCAATTCGTGTGCCCGGACCGTAAGTGGCCAACTGTGTCACCACACAGAAGACACAGATCTATTGACAAGGTTAGGGATGGCCTTAGTGCAGTTATGTCCTGATGCAGGTCGTTCCGGCATATGTGCAAACAGGCTGCCGTCGGGCATCTTGAACAGGAATTTCAGCCGGAAAGCATCGTTCCCATTCAAATAGTACCTTGCACCCACTATCAGCAAAAAATAACAATTAGACAAAACACGCATTCTGAAGAGCGATGGTGATGCAAGCCGGGCCGGCCGAAGTGGGTTTTGTAGTTATGTTGTTGTCATATTCATACACGACTGCAAACACGTGGATACACTCCGGACAGTGACAATAATCGAACGAGCTCTCTCAGGCTAGAGGAGACGAACTACTCACTCCTGCTTGCTCCAAGGCTCTTGTGCAATCGCTTCTCTTTCACAAAGCCCATGCTTCCTTGCTTGCGCTGACTGCAAACTGCCGGCAAGCCTTTTGCTGCATCAGCGACAACTTGGTGGATTCCGACACTCATCGTCCCCACACCATCGAACTGGGATGATGAAACTGCCCGTTGTTGAGACTCGAGCTACGGTACCACGGGCTCCCCTCCGTCACGGACCCGACGTGCGTGTGTCTTCGGGTCCTACTGTCATCTTGACCCAGAAGTGGGATGACATCATGGGCAAAACCTCATGATCCTTTCCGCCAGATGCAAAAGGCTACTTCTTAGCGTAGCATCGGAGTTAACACCTAAATGGTCGGGGGAGCTTTGTCCCTGCCGAAAGCCCTTCGGTAACATTGACAATGCCACCTCCCCGCCAGCTCTAGAATTAAATTCAGGAAATAAGTTCTGATTCCTGCCTAATCTGGTCAGCTCACAGGGTGGCAGAACAGGTTGTCAGCGAATCACACATACCAAGTCACTGAGTCTCTGTTCCGAGGGTTGCCAGAACTTCTTCCACACAGCCAAAGGAGAAGGCGGACCCCTCTCCCCACACGCGAGCGCTCCCTGCTCTCTCGTCTCTACGGCGAGCGTGTGAGAAACCTGGCCGGCAGGAGAGAGTGAGCTCTGGTATGTAAAAAGAAACCCTGAACTAACCCCCCCTAGGCCTTGGTTTACTCTGGTGTTCAAAGCTGCTTTGTATCGCCCCAGCAGGGCTGAGCGACCGGCAGCGTAGGCGAACAGGAGAGTTGCTGTTGTTCTGTACTTGGGAGGAGTTACGTGTGCAAAGGATAAGAACTCAAGTACAGGAAGTGCTGTAGGCAATCTCTGCTCAAAACTGTGCAACGAAGAACCGTGACACCCCGCCTTGCGGAACCACCACCGAAAGCCTGACCTGTACCTGGTTGCCGGACCTGTCTCTCTGTCCTGTCCTGTCTAGTCTGGCGGCTCAGCCTAGTGGCACGAGCGCTGCAGTAGGAGATTCAGGCGTCAGACCTCTTGTTCCTCTCAAGACTCATTCTGACTCATTCTCCTCCTTTCTGTTGGGCTTCGCTCCGTTGTATGGATTTGATGACTGTTACCTGCTTCCTTCTGTGCGCACTCCTCTGGCGGCGGCACGTGCTTCGAGCTACCCGGAATCTGACCGTTTCTGTCATTTCTTCCACTCCGCAAACAACCACGTCCAGCTCTTAAGACTCTGTCTCTGTCCTCTTTCGCGCTCTTTGCTTTTCTTTCGTGGCGCGTGAGTCCAGGGCTCCCTGCACCTCTCTAGGCCCGCCCTGTTCAGCTCGTGCGGTTGCTGTGACATTTTGCAAAGCTTCGACCAGGTGTCAGAGGCGGGGTGGCAGGTGCTAGTAATTTGCACCCCAACCGCACAGCTTTGGCTGCCAATGGAAAGACTTGGTTGAAACTGCAGGGATTGGGGAAGTTGGCTCACGTGCCTCAAAGGATTGATGACCCCTCGGCACGGCGACTCTGTCTCTGTTGTCACTCGACTTGATCCCGGAATGGTATAGCAAAAATGGTGGCCTTGTGAATGGGGGCGAGTGGCAAAAGCAACTCGCGGAAAGCAGGCACATTCCACCCACTCTGTCCCGCCACAAATGCCCTTGACGGGGGCATCTCGCTGCTGAAATCAGCTGAAACGGCTGAGGGTCAGGACTCCGCACTTGCGCACTCCAGACCCCTGGGTCCCTCGGGAAACTGAAGAGGCACCGGAGTGTGTGAGAGGGTGACTCTTTCAATGCTGGTAACATCAATCAGACAAGCGCCAAAGGGTCAGCAGAGAAAAAACATGCCAAATTGATCCGGAGAGGAAAAGCTTCTTCTCGAAGAGCTCATACTTGGCAGGGCGGTCCCAGTTCGTGCCAACTTGCAGGGCATAGTTGCAAAATGCAATCGGGAAGGCTTCCTAAACTTAAACACATCCGAGATCCGGACTTGTTTTGGGTTACGGCCAAAGCCCTGGGAAGGTGAGGCCATCAACAAGAAGCACTCGACGGAGAGGGGCAGAGACGGTCTTCGCTGCCCAAGTCGAAAAGGGAGAAAGAGAGCGAGATTGTCGAGAAAATCGCTACACAGGAGGACCTCAAGTGGCGAGTCCTCTCCACACCCAAATCCACGGGCCTGCTGCAAGTAAGTGAATTTAGTGGACAGTTTTGCAGGAAAAAACAACCCGTCCCGCAAAGAAAGGCGAGAATCTCAGCAGCATCAATGGCAGCCAAGCTTCGGTATAAGCCTAGTGCACCCAGGTTGGTCACTTCCTCGCAACTGGATCCGATGCGAGAACTGAATGGCAAGTCGGTCAGCTGACCTTTAGGCTTGCAACTGTCTGCTTCAATGCCACGACACAGTCTCCAAGACGCATTCGTCTGCCCCCAGCTGCCTACATGAGACAACTCAAACTACAGCCAAGTCGTAGCAGGGAATCCTGCAAATTTGTGCAAAAATCACATTGTACTGCAGGCCAACTAAGCTGCTGAAAAGTCCTATCAACCAAGCACGAAAATGGAGCCGGGCGGCCGCATTCGATCTAAGCAAAGCTTGACCAGTTTGGAGCCGATCCGCTGGCCCCGCAACTCCTTCTCCACCGCGAGCATTGCAATGTAGCCTCTTCATGTCTCAACTTTGCATGGTAGGTGGCTTCGTGATATCCCCGCATGTCATCGACTCTCCTATTGGAGACATGGCTTGCGTGTCATCGTTTTGGAAATCATGCGAGAAGGAGCTCGCGACATGTTACCGCCCATGTTAGCCCTTTCGCCACACTTGCCCGTTTGCTGCTAGGAAGACGAGCATACCTTCATCGTCTCCATGCTTGCTGCACTGAAGTGCAACCTAGCAGACTGCCCAGCCACCGTACGGGCATGCTGGGCAAAATGTAATGTCTCTACCCTTCCTCGTGCTGCCCTTTGAACTGGCGACTGGCAGTGACGAGGTCGTGAACGACCCATCTCTCTTCAGCTTCGCTTTCTGAGCCTGTTTGTATTTGGGGTTGGCGTGAGCTCGGTGAATCACAAGCCTGGGTTCTCCTCTCCTTCATGACCTTACCGACTATCCACACCACAGTCCACTCTCTCCGATTTCATCAGGAGCACCAGCACAACACTTCGAGCTGCCTCGATGGGTCCTCCTGCAGCGGTGCGTGTCCAGCTTGCAGATAATGGCCCCCACGCACCTGTCCCCCTGCATGGTCATGTAGCAGAGGTCTGGCCAGTTGTTGATGAAGTAGCGGTACGTGAAGACGGAATACGGCTCTGACAAGTCCTTGTCGATCAAACTAACGATTCCAGGCATGTCGCGCTCATCCTTGTACTGCTCAAAGCGTATGTCATTTGGGCTGTCTGCCGGACTGCTGGGATAGGCCATGGCAGCCGGACCCGAATTGGTGGATCTTGGGCATTTGGGCCGCACTTCTTACGAAATTTCATGCTGCCATTACTGCACAACAAGCAGATCTAAGTCTGTAGCAAAGACGAGATGTATACACGCTCGTATGGCTTGGGTCCATGCCAGGAGTGGTCTCGTGCTCTCCTCGCATGTGGTTGCTTTCCGACCTGCGGTCAGAAAATGCTTGGGGCGTACGGCGTGCGAGGCACATATCCAGACTGCAGAAGGATGCAAACAAGCTTGGTATTCTTTCGTTGCAACATATTCGGCTGGAGAACAACCTCAAAGTCCCGCCTGTCAGGGTCATGGCTGCCTCGGAAAGGCAGGAAACTTGGCAAGTCCGACAAACCCCGTAGCTTGGCCGTGGGTGGCAATGGACCCTCATGCCCTTCTTTTACAAGTTCATTGGATCAACAACTGCAGCCGATGCATGAAGATCAACCAGCTTCCAGTCATCTTAGATTAAGCAATGGTCTGGTGGCTGCCGCGTGAGTATGAATCGTGAGTATGAATGCATTCATCGGCTTGCACTTATGCATGAAACCACAGGGGCTAAAACAGCAGGCCCCTGCGATTGCCTTGCAAGCTTCATGTTGAACAAAGTGGCCCGAGTATCAAACGATGTCATGAGTGCAGTGTGGCTGCTACTGATACTTCCTGCTTGCATGTAAGCATGAAGGTCCCGCATTGATACACACAGCCGGATTCTTCCTGTCCTTGATCGTTTGCCCTTGCTGGGCACCTTCCGTATATCCCGGCGTCAACCGTGTTTCAGGTTTCATTGCGCGTGTGTGAGCACATGCGAAATGGCTTGCGTGAAACCTTGCTGAAGTATGGGCGTGCTCTCCACTCAGGAACCAAACAATACGCGAGCACACCCTTGACATGCCCTTCTGTCCAGCGGGCCAGCCCAGGGGCGGCTGTTAAGGCAAAGGCCGATGGATCTGTGGAGTGTGAAGTGCATGAACTGTTGTAGCTCAGGTCTGAACTGCTGCCGCTGCAGCCGCAGCCCATGGCCACAGTCTCCTGCCTCGGCGCTCGTGAGCAAGAACTGCAAGGCTCGTTCGCTTGATTCTGAGTTGCCAAGTGTTTGTCCCATGGACTCATAATGTGTCTGCAAACTGCACGTGGCAACAAGTGCACCAATGTTGCGGCCATGTTTTTTCCACGCATGCGCACTTGTTGTATTTTCTTTCACGCCTCGGACATGAGGAAAACCAAAGCGGGCATGCACGCGATCGCTTGTGTCGGCAGAGCGGGGTGGACAGGAGATCAAGTAGGCAAGCTAAATACGAGTCTGCATCGCACGGCGCTCCGGAGCTGGGGTTGTTTGTGCGATTGTGCTGTGTGCCGCAGTCTAGAGGCACAGCAGACATAAATAGCATTGATGTTGAGGGCCATCCACGTGCTCCCAACCGTGAGTGCCGTGAGTGCAGAATAGATTAAAGCACCACCGCAAAAAAACACAACAACAGCATCCATTCGGATGTGAATGTGGTGAAACTGCTGCCCTCAATAGCTGTCAACATGCCCAGCGTCTTTTGGGTCATCTCAACAGCGCGCAGCCGACTGCTCTAGTCGAGATATCTTTTATCCTACGAAATCAAGCCACGACGCCCGACTCATGCACATGCTTGACATGGCGCATCATTTGCTTCGACCATGCCGTGTAAGATGCTGGCCTGCATTGTCATGACGAGTGCCTTCGGACTTCTTTAGTGTACATGGCGAGCGAACAGTGGCCCATGTCAACTTTAGCAGTCTCCGTTTGGAGGCCGTGAGGATCCCGGCATCACCTGATACACTCTTTCTCATGCGAAGAGCGCGAAGCCAAAGACTGCCTGCAGGAACATCTGCCGCGACATTCGATTTCGGCGAGGTGTGGTGCAAGGAGAAAGCAGCTTTTCTAAAGAAAGCAGCCGCAGCACGGCCTTCTGGAAACCGAAAGTGTTGGCTGCATTTGGGGAGGCTCATGTCCTCCCAGGAACAACAGCAGCGCATTCGCTTGCTTGAAGTCGCAACCACTAACATATTAGAGCAAGCCGGAGCGTGTCCAGCTGCTTGTGCCATAACAAACTGCGCCAGGCCGTTCAAGACTTCGTGAACCTTAGGCCAGGCATCGGGCACAAGAGTGGCAAGGACAAACCAAAAAGGATCTTCTTGTGCATTTGTCAAGTTCAGATCCCTGCTGCTTCAATGCGAGGCACTTGCGAGAATTCGTCGCCCGTGAACTTGCGAAGATCTACTATGTCCTGCAGGTATGACTCGTGCTTGCGCTTCATGACTGTAGGTTTGCTCGTGCTTAGGCTTGCGGGCACTGCACGACAGGCAGTGCTGCCTTGACAAGAGGGCGACAACTCCACTACCATTCGGAGATATAACCCATAAGCTAAGCTCCGATGAATCTTGCGCGTTGGTGTGGCCTACAGGGTATCGCATCTTAGTGCATGGCAGTCAATATCAAAGCGAGTCGAATGGCCTTGACGGTCGTCTGGTTGGAACCTCGAAGGGTTAGTATACCACGCATGAAGTCTCCGAAGGTCAGAGGCTCACCGTCTTCGAACAGCAGCTTGCCTGGGATGCAATAGCTGTCCGGTTTCTGTGAAAGCATCAGTGCAGGCGTCAAGCGAGTCTGGTCACAGTGATCAACCAGGAACATTGCGATAACGTTCTCAAGATTTTCCAAGTGGTTCCTTGCTTTGCAAAACTCCTCCGCCAGCTGAGCCGGGAAGAGCTGCTTGAATCTGCAGCTTGCTCCCTTGTCGCAGAAGTTTTGTTCCAAGCTGCCGTAGTCCAAGGCTGCCTCGACATCAACTCCCAAGCTGGTCAGCGCAGTGACCGCCTGACCAACTTAGAGATCAGGCCTATAGGCGTTAGTGAGCGGCGTCACTTTATCCATCAATGTTTCAAAACTGCAGGAATACGTCTAGTCAATTTCGCGTGGGAGTGATCTAGTAGAGAATGCAAACAATGCAAGGCTTTCGGCGGTTGCCTCTGGCTTCCGCAAAACGTGCCTAAGGGCACAGGGCAACAATGCACCACTGCAGATGCTTGTCACCCTGTCATGCCGGCCATCCCAGGTTTCTCTGACCCGCTACGGGCGACCTTCCGTCCAGCAAACGACGAAAATGCTGTGTTTAATGGCTCGCCACGGATATCGACACAGTCACATCTCGGAAGGCTTTCTGCTTTTCAAGCCATGTGGCATATACTCCTCCTCGGAGATTTTATTGTCTCCGTCCGAGTCTGCCTCTCCTGTCATCATGAGCTTTTCCGGGGGGTGTCCCTCCACAGCCCAGTCCCCAGCTGAACATCTGAAGCCTGGTCAGCAGTTTCTGAATCTTCACTGAACCAAAGTCCAAAAGCATTAGCGAGCCGAAGCACCGAAAGGCTTTGCAAAAATCTTGAAACGCGACCATCGAAAAATTCACCCTGACAGGTGCCTTTCGAAATCATCTCCCACAAAACGCGCTTGGCAAAATCGACTTCCAGCTGCTCGCGCTCAATGGTGGAGACTGTCTTGATGGCTTCGACGAGAACGCCTGAGACAGGGTTGACACTACAGTGTTCAGAACAGGCCGGCTATGCAATTTGTCCGAACATTACGCCAAGTGCTGTGGCAGCATGGTCACATCCACCAGCCTAAGAGCATGTTCATCACCGTGAGCGAGCCCACCAGTATGAACACTATCAGCAAGGCCGCGATTATCGGGCTGTCCTGCGCTCGGAGTTCCTTACTCTGGCCTAGAACAGCCTTCTGCTAAGCCTGTACGAACGTCGGGGACTACTCGAATCCATGAAAGTACGAAAGAAACCACCCCTTGCTGTCGATGTTTTCAAAAACACCAGGCGGTGCAGAAAGCCTGAGATCCATTTTGGTCTCCAGGAAAACACTCGCAACAACAAGTGCACCGCCGCCGCTTCAGTGCAATGCCAACAACACGAAACTTTTCGCTGCGCTTGTATCCCAGATTCACATGGGCCCTTACCTGCCCCTCGGATGGCAGGAAGAAGCACTGCACGTTGTGCACACGGGTTGACGGACGACCGCAGTTTCTTGCCACATTTGTGGACCTGTCTCCTATACCGTGCCAGTTGAGCTAGGTGTCCTTGCCCACCTCCCGAATCAGGCCAGCTTGATCGGTCAGGACACATCCCAGGATGAGGGTTTCCACAGTTGAGCCTGCATTTGACACCGCTACGAAGGAGACAAAAATCACCATTTCAGAATTCAAACCAAAGGAAGCGCCGTATAGCCAAGTTGCCCATCGTCCTGAAGAGAGTAGTTTCCAAGGTCTCGATGCCCCGACTGAACTGCATGAAGGCCACCGAGAAAACGTAAGTGACAAGCAGAAGCAGGAGTAAGGTGAAGAACCTGCAAATCAAGCTTCTCTGCATTGATCCGAAAGGCGTTATCATTCAAGCGACCAGCTCCTGTTTGGGTAGAGACTGGATGCAATCGCTATGTTGAGGGCCCTGCACAGACCGGAATGCCACCATCATGCCCTTTACGAGAATCATCAGCTCGGGCATAAAGCGCACCAAACGGGCCATGCGTGCTGTGCGAAGCACTCGCATCACCCGGGCTACTCGAAGAACCTGGGGCTGGAACAGAAGTGTACTCCACAACATTCAAAACTTCACTGTTCATGGAACACGGAAACTCGGATGGAAATTAAAGTGTAATTTCGCTTCTGGCCGAAGAGCGGAGAGTCCGCCAGTCGATGCACCGGCTGAGTCCGCAGAGAAGATGTGCACCAGTGGCATGAACCAAGTTTCAACAACCATCAACAGAACGAGAAACAAGTCGAAGAGGAACCACATATCTCTGAGTGCGTATACCTTTCGGGTGTACAGCAAGTACCGGATGGTCAGCTCAGCGGAGAAGAAAAAACAGAACAAGTTCTCAGCTACGATGAACACGGGGTCGGCTTCGGCAAGGACGTCCGCATGATTGAGTTCAATGTCGATTCCGATCCAAATCGCGTTGAGGAATATCACGGTCATGGTGATGCGCTCGAACATGGGATGACCAGCAAGCCTCGAGTCATCTGAGGCTCATTCAGACCTAAACGGTCAGCATGCTTAGGCAAACTTCAGACTTGAAGATTGCAGACGCGGCTCTTTGCCAGGAATCCCTCCTTCGAGACACCACACACTCGCTAGCATGACTCCAACATCCCCAGTGGCTCCATGACTGAGCTCTGACTCTAGGACTCTAGGTCCTAGCTCAACCACAACTGCTCTTATAACATCTCACCTACACAAGCCTTTCCCAACCCCCGTCCCCCCTCGCCCCACCCACAGACACACGCCCACCCAGACACAGACACACACAAAAGACAGGCAGACCAAGCGCAGAGAGGCACAAACGGAATAACACAGACAAACGGACAGACAGCCAGCCAGCCTGACTGACTGACGCGCCCCCACACCCACACCTCCGCCCATGCCCACACCACGGACAGACAACAAATGTACAGGCAGGTCGGTCGGGAGGCAGAATAACAGACTTTCGAGCTCGCGCACCCACATGAATCACTCCTCTTTGAAGACATCCGTCGGTGTTCTCCCAAATTCTGCTGCTGCTTTGTTGCGCACATTCTCTTTGGCGACATCGGCATTGAGTTGAGCAAGCCTGGGCATGTGTGCAGTCGAGTCTTTTGCTTAATTGGCTACCACATGGCATTTATCTTAAGCGTGTTGAATGTCCCATTGCCTGCGTCTAACATTCCACCGACCTGCCTTTATAGCAGCTCCGCTCCGAAAACTCGGAACGTCGTATCTCGGAGAAGGTTTTTTGTTCCTACCGGCCGGTACTCAAGCTTGAAGCATCCAAGGTGCATGCCGTTGTGCAGGGCGTCCGTCGCATCCTTTTTGGCCTTCTGCTTCTCGTCGCGGGTCAAATGTGCGATGTCAGGTAGCTCAGATTCATCAAGCGGCTCTGCCTGGGGGTCGGCATTGGCAGTAAATCAAGTGCGGTTCGCTGGGATGCGGCTCGCATATGCTACTGGTAGTACGTTCAATTAGGGTCGACAACCTCCCCGAGGCTCTCCGACAGGTTTACAGACGGTCAGAACCAGTTCCAAGCGACAGCATCGCAGCTACTGGCCGGATTCAATCCGAGCTACAGCTCTCCAGCCTATACTTCACTTTCAAGTGCCTCTTGGCACGTCAAGAGGGATGGATGTAAAATGCAGCATGTGCCTTTCTGCAAGAGGTTTTCCCCGAGAATCACAACATGCGCCAGCCCTAAGCAACTTCAGGCATGTGCCCCTGCGAACTCTGTTGCGATGATTGTGGTATGCGGACTGCCCACAAGTCGTCCACGTAACGCGAGCTCTCTGGGTCGAAGAACATCAGACGGTGTTTTTCCAAACGTTTCTTCTGTGACACCCATTTCGCTGGCAAAGGGGCTGGACCAGCTGTGCAACAAGGGGTAGATGCTTCAGGGACGTTGATATCATATCAAGTAAGAACGCATAACATTTCCAACTTGCAGAATGTGATGATCAAGGTCGGTACGAGTAGTCAGCTCGAAACTCAGCACCAGACCGATTGAAGCTCTTCGACATTGATAGCAGAGCCACTTTTGTGGATCCTCGGGCAAAACTTTTCCCTCGATCCGGGACACGAGTCTATCTCTGCATCTAGCTGAATCGTGAAAAGCAACGCATTCCCTGGCCATGGCTATCCAGAAGCAAATCAGCCGCGAAGGCTTACGTCGGCTTCTGCAAAGCCCCTAAATCCGAAATGGTGCAGCACAGCAGCCATGACATTCGCCGCTTCCGCTGGGTTATTGCTGCTGCGGGTAACGAGATGGACATGTAGGTCGGCTGCGTTGTGCCTGCCAGCAGACAGAGAGCTGGCAAACCGACATTCACCTAAGGATTGTCCTGAACCCACCAATTTCCAGATTCACATCTCAGTCCTAGGCTCAATGAGTTCTGAGTTTTGAACCTAGTGGAGTTGACACGACCACTCGCATCTTGATTGAACATTTTATGGTTTGTACATTGTCAGGCTTTGGTCATCTTAACTGCAGCATATCCAGAAAAGCCTGAGCCTATGGACGCCTCCCAACTCAACGCTCGGCCTTTCATTTCCTTGACTGCTGGCACATCGTCTGCATGGCCCAGCACGCCCGGAAGGCGCAGCCTTCTGTTCTTGGCTTGCTGAGGGCTGAGGCATGCTTGGGGTGGGTGTCACATGTGGCGGTTCTTATTGGGTCCGAGTCTGTCCCTCGACCTACATTGGGTCGTAAAGTGCACAGACCACGTCGTCTCTATATACTTGTTCTATCTTCAGCCCCTTTCGGCCTTTAGCGTGCAGGTCCAATTGGTCTCACGGCCGGAGGGCTTGGGGTCGAACGCTACGTATACGTACGGTCAGGGTCAAACTCATGCGAAACCATCAGGCTTCGATGCAGTAGGCACCCCATACCGAAGACGGCACGTTGAGTGAGAAACCCCCCCGGATACTTTTGCACTGTCCTCCTGCTGACATACACCACATGCTTCTTCTTGATGCATCTTTCTCTCCAACCACAGAAACGCGCAGGCGCAACAGGCAACAGGCTGGCAACAGCAACAAACAACATGAACGCTTCACAGGGGTACATTTTGCAAACGGTGAACAAGCGGGTGCGTCGTGATGAGTCCCGATACAATATTCGCATTTGCTTTGATCGCTTCGTTGGAACATGTTGGAACATCGCAGCCCGCACATGGACGACCCCTGTGCACTCACTCACAAGCAGGCACGCATGCATTCACGTACTTGCTCGCAAGCCCGCGCGTGCCCGCCCGGACACAGTCTTGGACTCACAAGCGAAGCAATGATGGACTAATGGCGGGGGTAGCTAAAATCTTTGTACGCGAACTGTACACATATTGACATGCAATGTATTACAAATAGTTCAACCTCTCCATAGAACTTCTCTGTCTGAACGCAGTGTTCTGACTTGCATGCTCTTTGCATCTCTTTGCTATGATGCTTTGTCAGGCGGGGCAAAATGAGCAGAGCGAGATAAAGCGAGGCAGCGAGGCCTGAAGTCCTTGGAGGTGCTCCGATGCTCCCGAAGCTCGCTTCGGGAGGGCTTCTGGAGCTTCTCCGGGACAGACCTTCAGAGGGAATCCGCCGAGATCGGTCTGGTAGGGTCTGGTCTCTTTGGAAGCGCCAAGGCTTCTTCGAGTTTACTGCATGTCAATGTGACAATATGTGACCGATGGGAGAGCTTGGTTCCAACTCAAGCTGCTGCAGGCATCGCATGGCTTGCCCCAGCAACAAAACGCCACCTTCTCAGACCTGGCTCGCAGCCCAGGCGCCCGTCAGACGCGGCATAGAATGTCGGGAGGCGCCTCACCTTCTCCAGCTCACCTCAGATGCGGTCTGTGTTTTTGTGCTTCCTTCAGGAGTATTGTTGTCAGGTTCAGCCGCCCTCCAAAGGGTCAAAGCTTTGGAGGCCAGCAGTCAACCTCCGATCAAAGCGGGAGTTGAGGCCGATGGGGGATGGGAGCTGTGGGAGGCTTCACGTTGTCGAGTCGCTGTCCAGCAACTGCATGGTTTGCCTGTGGCTGGCGGCGAGCTTTGCCTTGAAAGATGTGAGGCCTTCCAAAATTCGTGCGGACTCCTGCGCAGCCGTGGACTTCTTGGAGGAGCCCCGGCTTTGCAAACCGGAGTTTCTTGAGGAGCTGCGGCTGCGTACATGACGAAGGATGTCCTTGGCATGATGCGCGTCATCACTGCAAGCTGTGCTGTGAGCAAGTCGTCAAGTTGCAGGAAGCAGCTAAGAGTCCGGTACAGCTAGAGGCTGCTCACAAGGCTTTGGAGGTAGTGCATGCACATCACGATCCCCATCGCTGTTCTCTGATGAGAAGCCATTCAAGTCCTGCTAGGGCCAGGTGGCATCTAGCAAGGGAGGTGTGCAAACGATCTTTTCCTACTTCGTACTCTCTCCCTGTCTCTGTACAGTAGCGCATAGATGCAGAGATGAGCTAGTCAGTTAGTCCACCGTCAAGTCATCGAGACCTGTCCTGATTGCGAGGCATGTCCCAGGCGTCGGAGTCCAAACCTAAGCTGGCAGTCATAGAACTCAATGACATGCAACAATAGACATCGTCTTTGATCAAATGTTCATGGCCATGGCTATGTACACGGCTGCCCGCTGCTCCAAGCCATATGGGCTGAGCGAACGCTGTGCAGAACAAACGCGTGCTTTCGACCCTTCTAAGCCTCCGGCCATGTTGTTCCATGCTCCTTCTGTCGGATGTTCCGGGGGAAAATGGCACGCCGCGCTTTTGCACAGCGAGTAGTTCTACGAAAGTCTATGCGAAGTAGAAGGCTGTAGCAAAGGCTACAGTCTGACCAACTCCAATGACCGATCTCACCAGTGCGCTCCAAACGGCTCAGACTAGGGAGCAACATGAACGGGTACAGAATACCACTCCAACGGTCCGCTGCTGGGAGCTTCCCCAAGCGAACTATCGGGAGATCTTATAAAGTAATCACGCGGCTGCAGAGCACACACAGCTGAAAGCAATCGAGACTGCTCGATCCTGGTCAACTTGTCAGCAAGACACATTCTATGAAAACGTACTGATTTATCGTCGCAGCGTTTCGAGCATCTTGCTCGGTGTCCTGTCGCCGGAAGTCATCATTCAATGACACCGGAAAAAGGGTTGCTGAACAAAACAATTCTCCTCGCATCTTCGTGAAGGTCGAACCACCACCAAACTTCAGTTCATGTTGAGATGAAGGGGATCCCTACTACGGGAATGAACGATGGTCGTGATGTCTTCAGAGAAGCTTACCGAGCCCTCTATCTGGGCGCTACCAGAGTAGAAGCATGCTTGTGGTTATCAGATCCTGCTTCAGCTTATTTAAGACAACAGGGGTGGGGGTGCAGCAACACATTTCCGATCTGACACTGTTACCAGACCGTGAGCTTAACCCGAGGCAACTCGCAGCCCCACCAACACAAGGGCTCGGGGCGAGCGTCTCGAGGTGACGGCAAGGATTGCACAGATTTCCTTGAACATCATCGATCCTTTGAGGGGATGCACAGGTACGGTTATAGAGTTGCGACAAGGTGATTTCCTGTTGAGAACGCCGGTGGACGACAAGTCAGTTTTTCTTTTGCGATTTTTCGCGCCTGTGTGAGCTTTCGGATCTGCTGGACATGTCGACAAGCTTTTGGAGCGTCCTTCTGCCGGTTCCGAGGTTTTGGTGTGTCAAATATGGAGCATCGGAGCGATGCTGTCTTCGTCTAGCCTCCCATTCGAAGATTTGCCCAGGACACCCCTACCCCTACAACCCTTGCACCCCAGACATGACACCCTTAAGCCTGAAGCCCAAGCCAGAAGCTCCGCGTAGTCAACAACCAAACCTTGGGTCCTAGGTTCTCCTGAACTGCTGCAGCCATAAAAGCATCCTACAGCTCTGTTTGCCCATTGGGGGTGGTGCGCATAGTTCCTGCCTTGGTGAAAATTCGATCACCACCACAGCATGCAAGAAGTCATGCATTCCATGAGACGGCTCTAAGCCGGCACGGCATCCGTGTATATAATCCTTTCAAAACTCGCCTGAGGCTTGCGTGACCCACCGGGTCTGCTGTATTCCTATAATTACAGTAGCAGACAGACTGGACTGGCACTCTCTACAACTACAAGAACTGGGGCGAAGCACCACCCTCAGACAGGTGGGTACGCTTCCTGCAAGCTTTCTGCCTCGAATTCTGCAGCTTCAGCGTGCGACCAACCGTATGACGTGTCTGACTGGTGTCCCTGAACCTGTGCATGCCTATGCCCGTTATCCCAAACTTCCAGACGTATCGCTTTCCAACGAAATCGCTGTCAACTCCAGCACTCGACGTTGAACCGGAGTCTTGCATTTTGGAAAGCTTGCGACGGCGCTGTCGGCGCAAGGTGCTTCGGTGGGTTCCCTCATGTCTTCGACAGGCCAGGAAAAAACGCTCCAGAATGAATGGGCTGAATACGGCTGAATGCCTGTCACAGTGTCACGACTGCTAAAGTTTTTCCGGGCTCTGCATGTGGAGCCGTCCTGGCCGGTGAAGTTGCCCAGTAGCTTCAGAAACCAATTCTTAATTGTGCATGACTCGGCGGCGACTGAGGATCCTCAGTGAGAGCACAGCAGCCGGCTATCCGACTATCCTGTCTAAAGTCCACAATCCTTAAATACCTGCAGCAAGACTTTCAGAGTTGGCTGCCTACGGGATGGGAACAGCTTTGAGGATGCCTTCAGCCCAATTCCAGCTCGGCCATTGGCGATTGGAGTAGAGAACATGCCGCAGCTATGACACTTTGATGCATGATGCATTCACGAATTCGCACAAGCAGTGTTCGAGAAAGCTGCCAGTTGCTGCAGTCGACTCGACTGCAGTCGATTCGACACCACGCTTTGGACATGCAGCGAGTTCAAGTTGAGGACACACCCTACTTACATCCCTGATGCATTTAGCCTTGCCGCTCGCCCAACATCTGAAGATGCTACAAAGTCCTCAGCAGCTTTCCTCTGCTCGCGACGCAATCCCCGAGCTGGTGATGGAGGACAGCGAAGCAATGCTCGGCCTTTGTGTCTGGCTCACAGGTCCTGGCAGGAGTATCAAGGAATGGCTGTACTGCATGGGTGCCCATAGTTTCAGGGTTTTAGTTTCGGATCGGCTGCTGGGGTTTTCGGGATCAGTTTGGAGACCGCGGGTTTGTCAGTTTCGGTGGCGAGGTGGGCACTTCAGTCCTATTCTGCAGCCCTGGGCCAAAACTGACCCAGTTCGACCATGTGCTGATCCGAAACTGTCCCGGACCATGTTCCGAAATTCCACCCCGAAACTAAACCGCTCGAACACCCTGAACATCACAACTTCCTGACTGTACCGCCAGCAGCCTTTGTTTCATGCACCGATGTATGCTGGAGGCACTGCACCAAGGGTCAGTCCTGATGCTGCAACATACTTGCATAAGCTGCTTAGAATGTCATGGATGTGAGAGAACTCATCGGCTGTGAACTTGCGAAGGTCCACAATGTCCTGGCACTTGTGGACAAAGGAAGCAGCTGGAGAATGACTTGGCCAGCTGTCCGACAGCAATGCACCACAGTAAGATTGCCATACTGTGTCATACTACCACCGTCGTACCGGCCTTGACGGTCGTCTGGTTGGAGCCACGCAAAGTCAGAATGCCCCGCATGAAGTCCCCAAATGTGAGTGGCTCACCATCTTCGAATAGCAACTTACCTCAAGTCCCACGTGTGGAAAGTGCAGTGAGCTGTGCTACCCTCTGGCTTCACTCGACCCGGACTTGCTGCAGCCATGCTGCCATAGTCCAAAGCAGCCTCGACATCGACTCCCAAGCTCGTCAGGGCTGTCATGGCCTGAAAGCTTAGGAGAAAAGGTGCAGAGCATGACGTGACAGAATACAAACACGTACCCAAGACTCACTGTTGTACCCTCTTTTCGTCGTTGTACGCAAACTCCCCAAGTCGGGACACGGGCGATAAGAAAGTACATCTCATGTTCTGGCAAGAACGTGCCTTGCCTCAACACAATTTGAAAACCAATCTTCCTTTCTTCCCTGCAGCCCCCCTTTCGCCTCTGGTGTGTGGAGCACTTTGCGGTATTCCTGTTCAGAGATTCGGTTGTCTCCATCCTCGTCAGCATGTCCTGAAAGATGTGGCTGGGTCGGGGGCAAAGGCTCATCCATGAGTTGGCACGGATACAATATCGTACACGTCATATGGAGACAAGGCCTTTGTCAATCATCTCCCACAAAACCTTCTTTGCAAAATCGACTTCCAGCTGCTCCCGCTCAATAGTGGACACCGTCTTTACCGCCTGTGCAGCAAACTCGGTTCGGAGCAACAATCTTCTGTGCCACATGGCCTCCACTGCATAGCTAAATTTTCTCGATTCCGATGCAGCCTCGACCAGGACCCCGAGCAACATATTCATCACAGTCAAAGAGCCGAATAGAATGAACACCAGAATCAACGCGGCCATGATCCAACTCTCCTGGTGCTTGGGGCATGTGGAAAACCTGCGACCCAAAGCCTGCGAAGCAAAAAGAACAGTGAGATGAGCCCTGTTGGACAGAAGCTTTACAAGCATGCTCACCCTCGAAAGAGGTCCTCTGCTACCGCTTCGATGATGAACTGCTGGTCCGTCAGGATGCATTTCCTTTTCAGGACACATCTGGCCGGTGTAGTCTGCAGACGATGCACAGGCCACGAATTTCAAGTTTGCTGTGTCCGCTGCCTGTCTGCCAAGCATGCAAAGGATGCCAAGGCACAGGAGTAAGGTCCAAATCGCCGTGCCCATGGAGCCAAAGAAGTTCGGTGACTCCAAGACGGCGTTGCCACGACTAAACTGGACGAAGGCCACGCCTGAACGCTTCGGGAGGCTTGTGCAATACGGCAGCGGAAACCTGACGAGTGATCATTTGCAGCACAACCTCCACCGGATCCTCTTAGGTAATCTCCTAAATTCGCCCAGGCACTAAAAACATAGGTGAACATCAGCAGCAAAACCAAGGTGAAAAACCTCAGAACAATCATCATGACTTCACGAAGCATACCGTCAGCAACCTGCTTCTTCCAATTGATTCTCGCATCAGCGAAGGCTTCGTTGAAAAGCTTCTGCAAGCTTCTACCAAGGAACACAGAACGGCAAGCCACCATCATGCCTGAAGCAAATCACGGGCACAAATTGATACATCGTGTGTTATTATATTACTATTATTACTACTGATTTTCCTCATTATAGGAGAAAGCATGGCCCAAGCATCTAGGATCCCGCTGGGACCTTTGCAGCCCAATCCCGGCCTTTGATCAGAATCATGAGCTCGGGCATCAGTCGAACAAGTCGGGCCATTCTCGCCGTTCGCAACACACGGAGCACGCGGGCCACACGGAGGACCTGCATTGCACCGGTCGAACTGGTCTCTCCTGTTTACTGCCGGCTGGTGCTGCCAAGGAGCAGAGGCGCCCCCTGTCATAGTGTCACCCGTTGTCCGCGTTATTGCATGTGCGAGGGGTACTAGCCATGTCTCGAAGGACATCAGGGTAACGAGGAAAACGTCGAACAAGAACCAAATGTCCCGCAGCGCAGAACACTTGCGAGTGTATGTCCATAGTCGGACAATCAGCTCGAAAGTAAAGAACAAGCAGAACAGGTTTTCCACCACGATAAAGCCGGCATCGGCTTCCGACAGGATCTCGGCCCTGTTGAACTCAATGTCGACTGATATCCACATCGCATTCAGGAAGATCACAGACATAGTGAATCTCTCGAAACATGGATGCATTGCTAATTGATAGCACCGCCCGGTGGGCTGGTCGGCATCTTCCTGCGGCTCGCCAAACTCAGCAGTAGCGCGCTTGCGCACCACACTGCGGGCAAGTTCAGGGTCGAGTTGTGTCAGCCTGCACACCACGAAAACAAAAACAGCAATCAGTGTCGAAAAAACCAACATTGAAAATAAACTCATCGCTGACGGGCTCAAGATCCGGAACCTGTGACACCTACCAACTGCTAGAGGCAGCTTGCAACCTAAGCCAAGCGGCATTCCCTTGTGAACTTGCTCATCCGCATCCTTCCGTATCTTCTCTTTCTCTTCTCGAGTCAAATTCGCCACCTCCGTGCCACCATCTCAAGTAACGAACACAAGTTCTGCGATCTGCGGTCACTAGCTTTGCAAGCTCCCCACCTCCCCCTCCAACAATGATGGCACGACTTCCTGTCAAAGCCACAGTGGTCAACCAAGGGAATAACAGGACTTACCAGCTCAACCTCCGCAGCTGAACTGAAGAACTTTACGCCACTGGCATGACCAGTGAACATAACCCTTGGGTTGGTGCAACTACCGGACCTCCGAAACAGCATCGCAACTCAAATCCACTCAATGCCACTGTTGTGAAAATCTGTTGCCTGCTAACTCTGGAAGTGTTAAAATTCCTAAATATGCGTTTCAGATGCGTTGGGGATCCGTTTGGGGATTCGTTTTGGATCCGTTTTGGATGCGTTTTGGATCCGTTTGGGGCCCCAGCCCCGGGACCCCAAAACTGATTTGCAAGGGGCCCAGACGGACCCCTGACGGGTCCGCAGGGGGTCCCCAGACGGGTGCCCCGGCGCGTCGCCGAAACCACGAATCCTCGAGAGGGATCCGTTTTGAATCCGTTTTGGGCCCCAGCCCCGGAACCCCAAAACGGATTTGCAACGAGCCCCAGACGGACCCCCTGATGGGTGCGCAGGCGGGTCCCCCAGACGGGTCCCCCAACGGGTCGCCGAAACCACGAATCCCTCAAAAAAGATCCGTTGAAAATCCGTTTTGGAGGGTCCCCCAGACAGGTCCCCCGGCAGGTCGCCGAAACCACGAATCCCTCAAAAAAGATCCGTTGAAAATCCGTTTTGGAGGGTCCCCCAGACGGGTCCCCCGGCGGGTCGCCGAAACCACGAATCCCTCCAAAAAGATCCGTTGAAAATCCGTTTTGGAGGGTCCCCCAGACGGGTCCCCCGGCGGGTCGCCGAAACCACGAATCCCTCAAAAAAGATCCGTTGAAAATCCGTTTTGGAGGGTCCCCCAGACGGGTCCCCCGGCGGGTCGCCGAAACCACGAATCCCTCAAAAAGATCCGTTGAAATCCGTTTTGGAGGGTCCCCCAGACGGGTCCCCCGGCGGGTCGCCGAAACCACGAATCCCTCAAAAAAGATCCGTTGAAAATCCGTTTTGGAGGGTCCCCCAGACGGGTCCCCCGGCGGGTCGCCGAAACCACGAATCCCTCAAAAAGATCCGTTGAAATCCGTTTTGGAGGGTCCCCCAGACGGGTCCCCCGGCGGGTCGCCGAAACCACGAATCCCTCAAAAACGGGTTGAAAGATCCGTTGAAATCCGTTTTGAGGGTCCCCCAGACAGGTCCCCCGGGTCGCCGAAACCACGAATCCCTCAAAAAAGATCCGTTGAAAATCCGTTTTGGAGGGTCCCCCAACCCCCGGGTCGCCGGTCCCTCCAAAAGATCCGAATCCGTTTTGGAGGGTCCCCCAGACGGGTCCCCCGGCGGGTCGCCGAACCACGAATCCCTCAAAAAATCCGTTGAAATCCGTTTTGGAGGGTCCCCCAGACGGTCCCCCGGCGGGTCGCCGAAACCACGAATCCCTCAAAAAGATCCGTTGAAATCCGTTTTGGAGGGTCCCCCAGACGGGTCCCCCGGCGGGTCGCCGAAACCACGAATCCCTCAAAAAAGATCCGTTGAAAATCCGTTTTGGAGGGTCCCCCAGACGGGTCCCCCGGCGGGTCGCCGAAACCACGAATCCCTCAAAAAAGATCCGTTGAAAATCAGTTTTGGAGGGTCCCCCAGACGGGTCCCCCGGCGGGTCGCCGAAACCACGAATCCCTCAAAAAAGATCCGTTGAAAATCCGTTTTGGAGGGTCTCCCAGACGGGTCCCCCGGCGGGTCGCCGAAACCATGAATCCCTCAAAAAAGATCCGTTGAAAATCCGTTTTGGAGGGTCCCCCAGACGGGTCCCCCGGCGGGTCGCCGAATCCCTCAAAAAAGATCCGTTGAAAATCCGTTTTGGAGGGTCCCCCAGACGGGTCCCCCGGCGGGTCGCCGAAAACACGAATCCCTCAAAAAAGATCCGTTGAAAATCCGTTTTGGAGGGTCCCCCAGACGGGTCCGGGTCCCCCGGCGGGTCGCCGAAACCACGAATCCCTCAAAAAAGATCCGTTGAAAATCCGTTTTGGAGGGTCCCCCAGACGGGTCCCCCGGCGGGTCGCCGAAACAAAGATCCGTTGAAAATCCGTTTTGGAGGGTCCCCCAGACGGGTCCCCCGGCGGGTCGCCGAAACCACGAATCCCTCAAAAAAGATCCGTTGAAAATCCGTTTTGGAGGGTCCCCCAGACGGGTCCCCCGGCGGGTCGCCGAAACCACGAATCCCTCAAAAAAGATCCGTTGAAAATCCGTTTTGGAGGGTCCCCCAGACGGGTCCCCCGGCGGGTCGCCGAAACCACGAATCCCTCAAAAAAGATCCGTTGAAAATCCGTTTTGGAGGGTCCCCCAGACGGGTCGGGTCCCCCGGCGGGTCGCCGAAACCGCGAATCCCTCGAGAGGGATCCTTTTTAAAAAATCCGTTTGGGGCCCCAAGCCCGGGACCCCAAAACGGACCCAAAACGGATCCAAAACGCATCCAAAACGGACCTGCAAACACGCATGCATTCCAAACGGATCACCAAACGCATTCCCCCATGCATCCAAAACGCATTCTAAACGTGTTTTTAGGCTTCTGCACAACAACCTAGTGTTAGCAGAACCAGACTTTCACAATGCCACCGTGTATTTGGCAGCAGTCTCTAAACCGGGACAAGGTACCGGCGCGGATGGCACCGGCGGCTCCACTGGACTCGTCCTTGCATTCAACACCCGCAGTATCACAAAGTTGTGCCTCGACCTCTTCTGTATGTGCCCCTCTTACTCCGAGGCTCCACGGCCAAGGCGGCCAAATGCGGCCAAGCATCTTCTGAATCCAAGACATTCGGCGTTTGCGCTGCTTCTGCACGGCTGGCAGAAGCGCGAAGGGGGAGGGAAATGAAAAGCGCTTCACCTGCAGCATTGTGCAGCCATGATTCATTCACTCTGGCGTCCAGCACAGAATACGATCTTTGTATTTTGCTTCCGGGACATACTGTTTCAGTTCGACCTTCTCATCTACACTGGCCGGTCGCTGACTCTTCTCACACTTCGCAACATCTGTCACGTTTCAGTCAGGCCTCGCCATTGGCGCTAGTCTGGCTCTTGCGACCGGCTGGGGCCGCGACACCTCGCTGGTTGCATCACGCCCTCCAAGGATTCACGCCACATGCGGCTGTCCGCGTCTGCTAAACTTTCGCTGTTGAGAAGCTCGTGCTCAAGTCCCTCGACTCTCGAATTCCTTGAACTGTGTCAGAAAACGACAAGCCGCGGATTTGTTTGGACTGTTTTACTTTGTCACGAAACCTTCATCCAGACGTGTGAGGTTTGCAAGCCTGTGCTACCTGCTGTAGCAGACTATCTCGGGTGGATCTTCCGCACCATTTAGCGGAGGTAGTGAGTGTGCATCCGAATTCCTTGCCAAGGCCCTGACCAACGCCCGAGACACCTTTGATGCGGTCCAGCTCATCATCCAAGAGCTGTAGCATTTTCTTCTGGTTCGCGACGAGTGCCGAGCGGAAGGAGGTCAGGCTGTTCAGTGCTCGTTGGACTTCTGGGGGAGGTTCCTGCCAACTGCGCATGCGCCGGAATCCGGCAGTTCCATGCATCGGCTGTTTTGACCGTTCGTCGTGCTGGACGGGCTCCACATCCGAGTCGGAGCTGAGCCCGTCTGAGGACTCATCTGCCCATGCTTGAGCATGAGGTGTGCTTCCGTGCTCGGGCCTTTGAGATTCAGCGCCTCCACCGGAAGCCTTCATCTTTAGATGTCTGGGCCAGCAAAGCCGAAGAGGAAGTGCACGTGGTCGTCAAGCAGCTGTTCCGTGTCGCGATGGATTCGGAGGGATGAGACTCTCCCAACCAGTTGCTGCTATCTTTTTGTCAGGTCACTGTCACTTCTTTCGTAGGAGGACTTGTTTCAAAGACAGCTGCACAGCCAATCACCTGTTGGCACAGACATGGTTGAGCCGAAATACATGCACATCGGACGCTTGGCCCAGGCAACAATGGAAGCATCCACACCTTGTATGCGCACGGCTGGATTGGGCCCTGCAACCTTCTGAACACACGGCTAATCGGAGTTGCCGAAAGCCTCATGCACACATACACACACACAAACTGATCCTGTGCCCCAGTTTTTCTCGCACAGACTGCCATGAAGTTTACAACCATGGGTGGCTGCAAGGAGCTTGACTGCAACAATTGCCCAAGCCGCTGCGAATTCATGCCACTTGTCTAGCTGAACTTTGTAATCGTACACCAGATGTCTACACCAGAATCGACATGTCCTGTAACTTCAGCAGCAATCGGGCTGCATGGTCTTCTCCTTTTCACAGGTATGGAGGAAGTTGAACGCACATTCGTCTCAGACTCTTGTACGCTTGCACTGCACACAGGCAGGCTCCAGGTACAACTTCTGCTTCCATCAACATACTGAAACTGTCGTCTGTGCTTTTGGGCTCCGCTGAGGTGGGGTTGCTGTCGCTAAGCCAACTGTGTCGAATTTAGTTGGGCTGACACACCGACACTTATTGTACCCCATAATAGCCTTAAGCGAATGTGTAGCTTCTACAGCGAGAATAAAACGGCAGCGGCACAACCCATCTTCAGCTCACACCTCGGAACTGCTCCTGCGCAGCGTTGGCGACAAAAGCGCCCTGAAAACATGTTGAAAGCAATCGAGGTTTAGGGCCTGCGCCAGACGCCGCAGCTCGCATGACCGAGGGATTGGCTTCAGGATCTCTCGGTCATATCTCTCCGTCACTCAGCAAGGCCATGCAAGGCAAATCCGACCGTCGCAAGCCCTGGAAGTCTGGGAGCAGAAAAGGACCACGGTAACTCTCACGGGGATTCCACTCCCCATGTAGCGAAAGGCATTCTTTGCTGTTTATGGTTTAGAGAACCCTTTCCTGGACCGCTTTAAAAGTTGATTTGTATGCGAAAGCCTTTCCATTGAATTTGTGTGACGCTTGGACTTCGTATGACGTCTTCCAGATGATAACTTGGATAGAGGGAGAGTGAGGGAGAGGGAGAGAGAGAGGGAGAGGGAGGCAAGAGGCGAGAGCGAGTGAGCGGGTGGAGGGAGGGAAGGAGAGAAATTCCTCTCTTCAGCCCCGTGCACACGCGCTGTCACGAGGTTTGACAGGCTAGTACGATATCTTGATGCAAAGCCATGTTTCGCCTCCCTTGTGGCTAGGACGAATCTACGATGCAGGGAGGTTCGGCTGTTTGCCAAGAAAGGGTCATGACTGCCAAGGATTCGAACTATCATTCATCATGATGTGATCGGTCTGTGTGTTACGAGTCCCAGTTGTACTTCCGTGGTCCTTGCCTGCAGCATCCACGAAGGTCTCTGAAAGAGAAGAACTGTCACTGCAGCGAATGCTTGTGATTTCCGTAGCCGTAGCACTGTCAACACAACTGGAACACCAACGTTCGTAATATCCGCGATGCAGAGTCCCCGCTCATATGCTGAGACGACATACGTGCACTTCGAGACATCCTTAGTGGCATGTTGGAATAGAGCGCAGGAAGCTGAACGACATCGCAAAGCTGCAGTGTCACGCCCTCTGGGAGGTCCGGGCCAGGATTTTTCTAACAAGTGTCCAAGGCGAGCCTACATACACATGCGCTGTGCAGATAAAACTGCCTGCATGCAGAAATGACTTCTTCACGCGCGCGCGCGCGAGGATGCTAACTACATTTCGTTCCCTGCCAAGGCTCTGGGAGGCGTGCCCCTGGATGCAGGTGGACCGCAGCCCCCCGAATCCACACCCCCGTCCCTGCCTCGGCTCGGGTCTCAGGTATTCATAGGCCACGTCCAGCAAGGCTATGTCTAATTGAGAGCTGGGAAGCAGATGGAGGCGGGATGCAAGTTGAATGCCAGGTCAAGAACTATGTGGGTGGTGGTCAAAATTATGGTCCCTCTTGGGCACCCAAAATATTAGGTGCCGTACTATAATAGGGACCTAAAAAGGGACCATAATTTTGACATCTACCCATGTAAATTAACAGTTTGGGTCCAGCTGCAGCTGCACAGCATCATCTCCCAACCGACCTGAGTCTAACTTCTTGAGCAGAATGAAAGCACACCCTCGGCACCTAACTTCCATCCAAGGCTTAATCGGCAGTGCTGACTCTGCGCTTGCAATCGCTTGCATGTGCGTGCATAAGCGCGAGCAAGCTGCGAACCGCGCAAGTAGAATCAAACGTCGGCTCAAGCCTCGGATCAGATCACAGGGACGCACATGTCCTGAGGCCAAATGTTTTGGCATAAGAGTCTGTACCTGCACAAAGATGGGGCCGGGGCCAGACGTCCGAAACCGGCTGCACGAAAGCATCTTGTAGATTGCTGGTTCGAAACTATTGTCGTATGCCTCGGGCCAGCGAGAGAGCTTCGCAAGCTTGAAAGAGAGCTGTTTCCCTTGCTTCACCGCAGAGAACCGAACCCTTTCTTGCTGTCAAGAGGCTTGTTGTAGAACATGTTCTACCTGGGATCTACTTCTGGCAGCTTCATACTGAGCTCATGTCCGTGTCAACATACCCGTGCAAGCCCTTACTTCGATCAAAGCCGGCCTGGAGCCACGATGCGGAAGATGTTTGCAATGGCAATGGCATACTCTGAGGCTCGAAGAAGCTGGTGGATTCGTATGTTGCAGCATTCATGTTGCTTGTCGAGTCTTTCGTTGATTTGCACAAATGCAGCTTCACACAAACAGCTCCTGCAGCCGAGCATCTTCAATGATGCTGCCGCCTGGAGTTCAACGTGAGATAACGTGAGTTCAACTAAACTTTGGACACGTGAAACAACATCCTTCCAAGTAAGACTCTCGCACGAATCAACTTTGGCGTGCAAACACCAATGGAAGTCTCGAAGCTACGCTTGCCGGTTCAGCCGGTCCCTTGATGCAGAACATGTCCTGGAAACCACCGCGAGGCGGCACGTGCTCCAAACTCGATCTGTTCACCTACGCCCTGAGCCAAGCCACGCGTGCGTGAGCCGCACACGTGGGTGGCTTGCGTGGAGCGGGCGCCGCAACGGAGGGACTGTGGGATGCGAAGGCCCTGCCTGAGTAAAACTCGCGTTCGCAGCATGCACATCATGGTGTGGGCGAAGGGGGGTGGGGGGTACATACACTGCTGCACTGCGCACTTCTGCACTACACTGTTCGAACTGCATTAACAGCGGAAGAGCTCAGCAACCGCAAATGTGTGGCACAGCACAGTCGCACTGTGAACCTGACGAGCCCAGCACTCAAATTTCTTGCGATGTGGACAGTTAGTTGGATGTGCAAAGTGGCTAGAGCATGGGCAATACCCACCTTCGTCAGGAACTGAGCTATATATAACTCAGTAATCAACTCACTACTCGCTGATGTGGCCGTGCTCCCCCTGAATCGCATGCTATCAAGCAGCTGGATCTTTGAGCGCACGGAGCCTAAGTGTGGGGCAGGCAAGTGTTTCTGCTAACATTGGCTTAAACTTGCATGCTGCACATGCATGCGCTTCTTGGGGTTCGACTCGCATCGAAGGATCGCGGCACCACCACTGGCATGGGCCTCTCCACCAAGCGTTGCCCAACCTCAACAAGGCCAAGGCCTGGTCCGAACGAACTTTTTCAAACCGCGGACGCTGCCAAGTCGCCGCACGGCGGGCACTGCGGTCTGCGCGAGCATGCCGTGGCCGGCTACCGCGGGCACCGGCGAAGCGGCTGCTGCCTTCTGAATCTGTGTCAGAACAGATCTTACATTCCGCATGTGCCCGAGCCTGCGCAGCGAGCGGCGTGCAGAGTTGGCCGCCGCGTGCAGGACTCCGAACCGATCGTAGGCACCTCCTGGGCCTGCACGATAGTTTGCACTCGGTGCCCGTTTTTCGGATGCATTCCTGACTCTGCTAGTGGTCCTGCATCTGGTCATATCTATGTGACGCCGGCGCAACGACGCACTTCCCCCACTGCCGCTGTCGTACGTGTCGGTGTGTATGCGTGCTACATAGTACATGTGTACGCTAAACACAGATGCACAAACAGGGATGCATGCGTCGACTGTGTGTACATCAGCAAAACACACCTAGTAGCACGTTGGACCGCATGCAGATACGACCGATGTTTATATTGTCTCCTGGTCCTGGAAGGATGCAAGGACAGGACGAAACGATGCCCGGCCGCCGCTTCCGATGCCCTAAGGCCCTAAGGCTGTATGCACAAGTTCCCAGTGCCGTGAGCATGTCGTTGAATAGCAGAAGCCGAAGCAGAAAGCTTTCCCGGTCCATGTCACACTGTGGCAGCAATGCAAGTGGCAGCACGTCGTTGTGTGGATCCACTCACATGCGCCTGCTGCAGGCAACCCAGGCCTCCATGCATGACCGTGGCTGTTCCAGCTTGTGCTCGGTCACATCAATGAGGTTGGTCACAGTTGGGATCTCCTGGTCATAAATGCAAACTGGGCGGCATGGCCGAGATTTCAACATCATGATTAAGCTTTCCATCCTGCGATTGTTTAATGATAATAATGATTCTCTTTAGACTGGTCGAGATAGGGAATGTGAGCAAACTGTGAATTTAGGATTTTGGATGAACGGCAGACATGTCCCGAATGGCCTTCGCAATCTCCGTCACGCGCGGCTGCTCGAAGAAGGTGGTCGAAGCACAAGCTAGCTTCACCACGTGAGTCTCGCAGGAACACCGCTCACCAACATACACTCGCCCGCACGAAAACACATACGCTCAAAAGTCCGCGAATGTACTTCACGAGACATGGTCCGGCCTTGGCTTGTCGGGGTTTGGGGCGTAGGCCGACAGCAAGTCCCAGCAGAGCGAGGGAGGCGCCTGCCTTTGGCTGATGGCTGTGTCGCCGTGCTACTATCAGGCCCTTACAAGTCCTCTCGACTTTGAACTCAGGTCGGTGACAATGTTGTCTGGTCGTTATTGCAATCGCAATCGCATTGGTAGTAGTAGTAGTCGTCGTCGTAGTAGTAGTAGTAGTGGTGCTAATGGTAGCGGTAGTGTTATTGGTAGTGGTAGTAGTCGTCTTCGCCGAAGTGGTAGGAGTAGGAGTTGGAGCAGGAGCAGGAGTAGATAGTAGTAGCAGTAGTAGTAGTAGTAGTAGTCGTCGTCGTAGCAGTAGCAGTAGCAGTAGTAGTAGTAGTAGTAGCAGTAGCAGTAGTAGTAGTCGTAGTAGTAGGAGTAGTAGTAGCAGAAGTAGTTGTAGTAGTAGTAGTAGTAGTAGTAGTAGTAGTAGTAGTAGTAGTAGTAGTAGTAGTAGACTACTACTCACTACTACTACTACTACTACTGCTGCTGCTGCTGCTACTACTGCTGCTGCTGCTGCTACTACTACTTCTACTACTACTACTACTACTACTACTACTACTACTACTACTACTACTCCTGCTCCTGCTCCTGCTCCTGCTCCTACTACTTCGGCGAAGACGACGACTACGACTGCGACTGCGACTGCGACGACGACGACGACTACTACTACTACTGCGTGCTGGCAATCCAGGGCCGATCCCTGAGCCAATCCAGGGCCGATCCCTGAGCGAGACTGTACGCCAAGCTTGGTCAGCGGTTTTTTGGGAGGGGACAAGATTGACCGGTCATCCTGGTAATCTTGGTCATCTTGACCACTGACCACTCGTACTACTTGCACGGACCGGCAATGTAGTATTACAAGTACTGGAAGTACCAGTAGCATCGACCGCTCCGCTACCTGTACCAATGTCAGGCATCTTGCAGGATTGGAAATATTGGCTACCTGGGAACCGGCGCTGACAAATCTAGCGTTGATGGCCTTCCACAGCGATGCCGAGTCTTGGGCCCGCGAGCGCGCTACCACTGGCGCCTCCACAAACGCTTGCCGTCGTAACCCTGTATGGCTCGCGATTATGTCGCCGCAAGACACAGAACATATGCTCACTCATATTCTCGTGGCTAGGGTAAGGCAGGAAGCTGAAAACATGTCCGCAGCAGGGTGCGGGCAGCATTTAACATGCGACAAGCACCTGGAGCTAACAACGCCTGCCTGGATGCTCAGCATGCCGGGGCTGTGAAGTGCATTCGAAGTCACTGGACCAGATGAGACAAAGGCCTCACCTTCGCAGTCACCACAGCTTAGCAGCAGCTGCACCCAGCCGATCGTGCCGACAGAGTTCCAGCAAGACATAGTCACGCCTATTTTGTGTGCATCTGTTCCGATTCCCAAAGTCCGTGCTAACATCACCGTTCCGGCTGTTCAGCCTGGCGAGCCTCTGATATCGTCCCCTGTCTTTGTATTGCATCGCGCCTATGGCAGCAGCGAAGGAAACAGCGGCCTGGTTGGCGGCTGAACTGCATCACACTGGATTGCCACCCTCTGCACAAAGAAATGCAGCCTAGGGCACAATCACAGTTGCCGCCCGAAATGGCATCTGACATACGCGACGCGCCATCGCCCTCCTTCGAGGCAAAGAATACACCGCTCCAGCTTCAAACCCGGTTTTGCTGCGCTTTGGCTCCACATCCTGCGAGGTCCGACTCTGCGTGTTCGCGGAACTCTCACTCAAGGCAGAGTGAAGCAGCCAGGTTGGGGGGTATTCTCCTTCACTACCAGAACGGCCTTCACAGGCATGCCTTGAGTTCGACCCATGAAAGGACAGACAGTTCGCACTGGAGAATACTTTGAACAAGTACTTGCAACCTTCTTACCGCCCTCCCTCTCCCAGCGTCCTCGTCAGACACACGAGTCAGGCACACAACATCCACAAGTTGCTTGGGCCACGAAGCCTCCTGTGTAAGAAAACTGGTTGCCCTGTCAAGACGGGTGCGAGACAGCGAAAATGTCAGCTACTGTGCTGAAAGTGCCAGAACGGTGTCCCGAAGCTGCATCTCGGTGCTTCAAAACAAGGGGTCAAGCGGCATTGCTGAGACCCATGCGTGTCCCGAAGCCAGCAAAGGTCTCCTGTCGGTGTGTCTATTCTTCTCATTTCTTCTCTCTGCTTTGTCCCGCTTGCTTTAACTGCAGCTGTAGATGTGCCTCCGCATCTGCGTGCACGACGTACCGGTAAGCCGAAGGCACCAGGCTGGAAAAGCATGGAGCAGCTGGAGCCTGAGAGGCCGACAGGATGAGCAAACATGTTGCACATGCCGAGGGCTTCGAAGGCACCCATTCACCAATGCAGCTCTTGGCAGCTGGCCTTCCTACCTAAGACGTCTTTGTGCTTTGTGCGGCACGGCTTCGCAGCAGTGAGCGCTTGGATCACGGCTTGCCGCAGTCGACATCGGTGCATCAGCGCCTGCTATGAGAGTGACTCTGTTACGTACGGGAAATGCTGTATGACACAATGCGAACATGCGATGACATGCTCCGGTATCGCAGCCGCATAGCAGGCTTCGCAATCGCTGCGCCTGGACTCTTCCCGTGAGCCGGGGCATGTCGCCGTATCGGTGTTTATTTCGCTCGCTGCCTCTTTTTCGCCGCCCCTTCCGGATGCCTACGACGGACCTAGCAAGCCGACGACAAAATCCGCTTTTGCTTGTTTACTTCTCCGCTTGTGCGTTTGTTCATGCGCTTTGACTAACTGTCTGTATGTCCGTGTATAGTATCCGGCTGTAAGAAACAACAGGTACGTAAACTAAATGCACACACATCTGCAGACGAACAGGGGTGTATACATACACGGGGGAAATTAAAATCTCGTTTGCAAAATACATCGTGTTGAAACGGTGGTTGCGGCGGCTAAGCTCTAAAAGTTAATTCGGGACAAGATCCCGGCTCGTGCAGGAGTTTTACCAGAATGCAGCTTAATCAACACAGATCACTTTCTGCATGTTGCTGCCGACGGCGGGCTCGAAGGCTTCAGATCAGATTTGGGTATGGAGTGAGCTTCGTCACTTCCGCATTGCACATACGGAGCTCACTCCCGAGAGCCTCGTGGCCATGCATCCTCACTCTTGTGTAGTTGTTGGGCCAACGTATGGGCTTAGCAAGATATGGTTCGGTTCGACATGATCAAGGTTGCAAATGACTTCCAGAGCTCGTTCTGGAGGTTCCGCTCGTACTCGTACTCGGCATGCCGAATTCAGAAATTCCATCGGAAGCCGCGCGGCATCGTGTGCTACAGAGGCGGCGACTCTCTGTACGATTCTCCAACTTTCTCTCATCGCAAATCTTTTAGAACTGCGAAGTGCCCCATACCAGCAGCCTGCGCGGCCCCTTGACGACATCGTAGTGCTTGCATCGCCTGAGTAGGTACAGCAAGCGACGGAGAATACTCTAACTTATCATTTGGACATGTCCGAACTTTTAGGCTCGAGGCACTGCGGGAGGCAAAGCCGCAGGCAGGTGCCCAAGGCAAAGGGAAGGGATCGCTGGCAGCTTGAAATATGCAGAACCGGCAGTCCCGCAAGGAGAAACGATTGCCTCAACTAGCGGCTAGCGCTGCTTTGGTTCAGGCTGGGATCCAAAATCGCCCGCGGAATGCACGCGTTTCAGGTTGTCTACGGCTCACAGAGCCACCGAACTACTTTCACACGAACACGGGCAAATAAAGAGAACGACAGCGAGAGACAAGCAGCGAGTCCGACGAATACATGTGCATGATATGATGGACACTTTCCAGTGGTGCTCACACACAGCCAGGCAGAAAGACAAACAAACGGGCATGCGCACGTACGGTATGTACACACAGACAGACAAACTGACACTTGAGCAGGGAAGAACCCTGTCCTGAGGACCCTCTCCTTGCTCTGTCCCCGCATCTGCCTCTATACATATCCCGGAAGATGCAAGTATGTATATACATATATATATATATATATATATATATATATGTGTGTGTGTATCTCTTTTGTATGCATGCATGTATATATGTATGTCTGTATGTATGTATGTGCATGTGTGCGTGTGTGTCTGTGCGTACGTATGTATGCAGGGGCGTACGGGTGCCTGTAGGTCAGTGGGTAGGCAAATGTATGTGTGAATGGATGCATGGCTGTATGTGTCGCTGTATGTATGTATCGATGGATGGATGGAGGAATACGTCTGTGTCGGCGTTTGTACGTATTCTTATACACAGATGTATATATACACACATTAGGATTTAAACGACATGCAGGCTGCACAATGCGTGGTCATGTGTTACACTCATGCCTGAATAATATGATTACTAGAACGAGATCGAGGAACTCGGTGTCTCGCTCCTCTTTCTGTCTTTCTTGTTGTGTCGTTTCTCTGTCTCTCCTGTGCTCAGAGATTTAGAACGAAGCACAAACTGCGGGTTTCTTTCGAACCATACAATACACAACGGTCCAGGCATTCGCAATGCTTCAGCTCGTTTTGTGCTCCGCCACACCACGGCTGGGTTCAAGGCGCAGCTGCAAGTCTACGTAGACCACTACGATACCGGTCTGCTAAGCCAACGTTATTCTCCCTTTCGGAGTATCCAAGAGCGCTTCTAAGCGGGGCTCGCTGCCAGGCTCAGAGCTCTGCACGACCACTCCCTTCACGTTCAGGGCATCCAAGGCTTTCCTGAAAAACAGCATAACGGCTCCAAGGCACACGGCCAAAAAAACATGATAAAGAATCAGATATCACCAACATGTGCAATTGAGAAACCTGGTCTAAATGCTCGCCACAGATTCTGTAAAGCTGGCGCGTCCGGGTGCGATGCTCGCAGCTCAACCAAGCGGCAGCCCTCAGGAGCAATGGCCGATGGATGTTTCATCCCCTCGGCTTTGTTGGGAGACCAGTCGACCACAAATGGCACAAGACCTGCCATCGGAAGTGCTGCAAAGCCTGCTCTGTGATGGTCAGAAGCCAGTCGCCACCTAAGGGTCTTCCCTTCCGTATTCTGCCTTGAGAAATCTTGAATGGAGCCTATGTCGTACCCTGCTTTGGCAGCAGCTTGGACTGTTTCACTCAGGTCTCCCCGCCCATCCGAGCGTTGGACGCAAAAAGTTGTGAGCTTCGGCTTCTTGGGACAATCAATCCCAAGCCATGTTCCCACAGACTGAGACGGATCCTGTGCAAGCAGTTCACAATACACACCTTCCCCAAGCGATACCAGTGCGTTGTGGGTACCTAAGCCAAGATGTTGGCCGCCCACGCATGGCCTCACGCCGGTAAGTGACTCAAAAGCATCCATTCCGTCCGCCACCGACTCAACGCACCAAACCAAATGATCCGTGCACAATTCCGGGGAGTGTCCCATAGTTTTTCGGCAAACTAATCGCCACTGTAGTCGCCGCCAGTGTCGTGACTAGCTCGAGCCAAACGGCTCGTGATGAAAGCGGTGGGCAACACAGCACCGTCTCTTGCGGGGGAACTATGTAAAATTACATGCGGAGTCATGACACAGACACAAATACAAGAACCCGCAATCAGGCCATCGCATCAAACGCTTTCATGCGTCTCCTTCTGGCTTGTGCTCCAGTAGTTTGTGCCGAGGCCCTCCTGCCTCACAAGACTACTAACTATGCCTAACTATGCGAGACTACGAATCTGGCTCTGGCGATGCTGCGCTCCGATGCACACTGCCTTGCCCAACTGCGTCTGCGAAAAGTCGAGAAAGTGCTCTTCAAGCACTTTGGACCACAGACGCATGACGAACGCGGACAAGTCAAACTAACTGCAGGTTCACGGAGCGCCACCGTGCGTATGTCACCCGTGACAGCGGGTCACGTTGCTGGACAGAGCTTCGACAGCATCATGTAACAGTGTGTTCGCGAAGCCGCGCGAGATCCATGGCTCCTTGGCACTTAGAGGATCGGCAGCACGCTCGATGGAATCAGCAGGTGAGGAAGGGCAGCGTGTCCTTCCCAGACCCGGAACTTTGACTGGTGCTGTTGTCTGTGTCCTCACATATCATGACAATTTCCGAATGCAGCGGAATGCGCCCGGTAAGAACAACTCCTGCCTCTGCAGGCATTGTAAGATGTCGGTTTACCCAACACTGCACTAATAGCATCTTGATATCATTGATATCCATATCTAGTGTGGTTAAAATCGCCACACATGAATCCTTCTGCACACGTCACAAATAAATAAGCAAGCAAACGAACAACAAAGCGCTCCGCCTGGAGCAGCTCAGCATGGTTGATCTTGAGGTGAGGTTGCGCAAGGTTGATGCAGGTGCTTCAGCAGGATAAAGATTCCAGGCCCCTTGTACACGCGAGCCAGGAGCACACACACTCACACAAATATTTGAGGCGGTCACCACCGTGGCTTTGGAAAAGACCTGTGGGCCAGAAATGCCAGCATCCCTGCTTGGACCCATTAGCTTCCATCAACCTGCCTTTGCCGGATTTCAGAGCTCGGATTTGTGCGAGGGCACGAGGGAGATGGCGACAGCCACGGGTTGTGAAGCACCAAACTCGACTAGAGTCTCGATCTCACCTGACAAGGCAGCTTCGGCCACTCATCGTCGTCATGATTCGTCATCTGACGGCAACC